TGGCCATTGCTCTATTCCAGCGCATTTGGCGAAACTTCACATTTTAGATTCCTCAATTTGTGATTGTGGCCTGGAGGAAGGTAGTATAGAACATATTCTATTATAGGGATCTTGAAAGGGCCCGAATTAAAAGTCCAGAAAACCTGTGAATGAGTTTACTCCACTCTTACTTGACGATTATTATAAAATTAATACGGTGCTGTTACAATACATGTGCCGGGTGGCCAGAGAGAAAAAAATAGCTTACATTGCCATAGACAAAAAAATATTTTAAGTTGTAATCACTAAAACGGGCCGGTAGGCGGCGCTGCCGTCGATTCCTAGGCGGGTTTGCTACACTATTTAACTGTAGGGTCATTCCATCGTTTCGGGTGTTACGTTCGTACACACATATTCAACAATTTCTTGTATTTTGAAATAGTATTTTAATAATATTAGTGCCTTAATCTGTCCGTTTTTAGTTGTTTTATCTAAATAATAAAGTTTGTGCAGCTTAGAATGTAGGATAACGAAAATATGAGTCGAAAAGTGTGCGTTTCGGGCGTTACGAGATTTTGCCTCTATGTTCTGACTGTTGCTGCATTTACTCGAAATTTAGCGAATTTTCTTAAGGAATCATACCTAAAACTTACAGGACTTCTAAAGTATGAAATTTGCAAACCATGTAACATACAATCACTGTTACATAAAACATTTTACTATTTTTTTATAATTTTTTTCTTTGTTTCGGGTGTTACAATGGTTCTGTTTCGGGTGTTACGAGTACGAAAATGCAACGCGTTTTATCGATAAAATCGGTGTTTTATTAGTCTCTAGGTACTACAAAATAAGGAGTTCAACAAATAAACACAAATAGAGCGAATTCTGGTTTGACTGTACTCTATATAATTCTCTGCCCCTACATAGTATATTAATTAAAAACAAAGCCCCCCTTCCTTACAATCTTTCATCTATTTTAAGTATTACTAATAAAAAATATGTACATTCCCTTGTTAAATTCATTAAGCACCACTCTATAAAACTTTAAACTTATATTTTATATATTAAATTTATGTATTTTATACGACCTCAACCGCACCTAATATCCCAAGCCCAAGCCCAAGTCCCATCCCACTTGGTCCCTCTTCTTAACTCGTCCCACACTCACATGAAAATGGCACAAATCAAGTCGGCCTCGACGAGTATTGCCAAGAACAAAAAAGAAGAAGAAGAAGAAGAAGTGTCAATGTCATCCATCATCACGTCACTCATGTCAACGATCGTGAACAAAACAAACGTTTTCTGGTATTTTCCACGTATTTATTATTCTTTTAGACGCAAGGAATACGAATTATGTACTTACATAATTCGTACTCATGCTTCTAAAGTACAACGTTAATAAATCTGAAATAAAAAATCTACTATCGCGCGACAAAAATATTGCAAAATAATTTTCGATTATTGCGTGTTTACCGTTGATACAAAGGTTCGATCAAACATTGCAGTGCTAACTTGAGTAGGTACTTAATATTCACATGCAGTTACATTAGTTAAACAATGGAAATCGCAAGAGTACCGGAGAATCAACTTGATGATAGTCCCGAATTATTGATATCTGATGACGCAAACCTCATTGGGCACAATGGAAGTATGATAGGCCTTTCTCCTGTGCAAATTCAACAGGAATACTTCGAAAATCTGGCTGATTGTGACTGGGTCAAGTAAGTTTATTTTCCATTTTCCATTCATAATGATAAAACTGTAAAAGTTTTGCTTATTTAATAACTTTATAAAAATATCATAAACATTCTTTATTCCTTTATAAGATACACCTATACTTTATTAATTGTTTGTGTGCTTTAATCTTATTAGAAAACTTGCTTGCAGGTATGAAAAAAGTAACAGAAACTATTTGCTTCAAAACATAGCATTTGCACTATATGGCGGGCCCAGCTGTGAAGGAGAACTATCCAAAGTCATTGAATCTCAAAATGCACACTTAGAAGGATACACGTCTAGACAAAAGGAACAAGTTATGAAGGTCTATGAAAAGATATGTGAACAAAGTATGTATGTTTTGTGTTACAATACTTTAGTATTATAACTAATTTATGGATGTTTATGATGAAAAACATGAAACATCTAAAAAACTATGTTTTCTTAAAATATTGTCTAATTACAATTTGTATTTAAATCAAGCTCATACCATTCAAACCTCTTAACTGTAGCCCACAATACTTATGCAAAACATAGTTTTCTAAACCCTCATTTTGCTCTTTGATTTATCCAAACTATTGCTCAATAACTTCCCTAACATAGGTAGTTAAGTAGCTGTAATAAATTTTCATATTACGTTTCATTATATTTTCCAGGCAAGTACTCTCAAAATGATGAAGACATCGTGTTGTCTATTCTCTTAGTAGTATGTGCGAGGCCTAGACCAGTTAAATTCTACCAGTTGGAACCGTCCACCCACTGGCTCGACCTGCATCAGAAGAACGACATTGACATTTGGTGCACTGCAGTTTTTAGAATCCGTAAATGTATACCAACACTCGTTGGATGTAAGTACATGTTTCAAATATTTATTGGTATATAGGCATGTAAATGGTGTATAGTTTCTTAAGCAGTGGTTAATCTATTATTGTTTCACTGTATGTTTTCCAAACAAAATAAAATAATAAATAATAATAATAAAATAATAAAACTAGCTTAGATTTCAAGGCCAAGACAATAATATAGTAGTAAGGCCAATAGTAGCAAGACTAATCCAATTATACTTTGTTATTAATTATAATAAATAATATGTCGAAACAGGACACAAATGAAACTGGAGATATTTATTGGAATTAAGCACTGATAAAACATTTTATCTTATCAGGATTTTTAATCGTATTGCTGACCAATGATTGCATCCGTTGACCGTGTCCGGGTTAACAAGATTCAAGATAATAAATAACCTAATGCAGTACCTAGATTGAAATCCAGAATGTTTTATTTTACTGCAGTTTAAGTCATAGAATTAATTAATCTTTTTTTAACTTACAATTTAATCAAATAAAAAATAGGATTCTTAACTAGATGTAGATAATATAAGTTTCAATATTCTACACTGGATGGAACTAATTAATTAGGTAGACAGTATGTCATAATGTGATAAAAATATTATATTTTATTTGTAAAATAAAACTACTTACTCTTTGTGAAGGAGGTACTCATTTTGCTTATCAATTAGTTAACAAGACACAAAATAGCAACATGTTACATGACTCAGTAGATATCACAAGCTGCTCTTTGTTAAATAGGAATCAATATGTTGCATTACTAAATTATCTTTTAAAGAATTTTGAAATCTATGATATTACAATCTCAGTTTGCCCTGAAAAAACGATGCAGTCTTCAATAAATTTACCTTTTCCATAAATCTTCTCTGAAAGAGCACAGATTTTTTATAGCAATACTTAAACAACCATTTTAATGAATATAATCATCAAAAATATGATTGAATTTGAGATATTCTAAAAAGTACCTTTAATCATTTATTATCTGCTACAGCATCATCTTGCCGTGTCTACATTGACGAGAACGCAAGAGTATATCATGACTGGGACTCATATTTAACCAACAATACACTGCCGAAATGTGTTATCATTGTGCCTGAGAATGGAGAATATTCCGGAACTATTATTGAGGTAATAATTGTAAAAAATAAAAGATATTAATATACTAGCTGTTGCTGTAATAGGACCTCTGTATCATCCAAGAGAATTTTGGAAAAATCTTTTTAACGGATGCTTTGATTTATAATTTAGCATAATAACTATCTGCTTGCCATATTATATTAGCGCGATCCATTAGTGGTTTGAGCTGTCTAATGATAGATCAGTCAATAACGGCACAGAAGTGCCTTTTTATGTAGATTTTAACTAGTTTATTAACTTAATTTTTTTTTGCAGGGTGACGAAACGTTTGCTGTGAAGCTTACAGTCGCCCCCACTCCCACTTTAGGGCTCAAAGCTAGAGTGTTGAGCTCAGTAGACACTGCCAGTACGGTCGCTTCCATCGGTGCTATAGGAGTGCTAGGAGTCGCAGCGTTCACCCCAGTAGGCCCTGCTGTATTGGCTGGTGCTGCGGTGGCAACAGTGGCCACTGGTTTGTACGGCCTTGTCCGGTCGTCGTATCATCTACATGACCGAAGCGTGCATGAACAGGTAGGTAAAATAAGGTATAACGTCGCTTTAGAGAGAAAACCTTGGGAATGCATTTTTTTCATATTTGTGCATTTCAGTCAATCTTACAAAATAACAGTTCTGGATAAAATATAAAAGCCGGTTAATTTATTTATTTTACATTTAAGAGGTTTTAGACCCAGAAGCTAATATCATTAAGTTAGCGTCCTGTATGTACCTTATAGTTATGTGCAATAAGGTTTCAATTAGTAGTAGTAATCTGTTACACCTTGTATAATTAATTTGCAGAGAATTTTGAGAAAATGCCATATAATTTAAGTTAGCATTCTGTACCTTATTGTGTGTGCAATAAGATTTCAATTAGATTGGCAACTTTCAGACGATCAGCCCAACGGATCCTGAAGCTAGGGGTAGCTGGCTGAATATCGCTGCTTCTAGCGTCGGCCTGGCCGCCGGCGCCGCCACCAACTTGCTGTCGAAATCCGCGGCCGCTGGCACTAATTTGACAAAGGTACGCCATTGCTAATCGTGAAGCGTCATGTTCAGCAGTTTTATTTAGATTCTAAGGCTGGGTTGTACCATCTTACTTTAACTTTGACAAACGTCAAAAATCTGTCAAAATCCATACAAAAAGCACCGGTTACCGTCAAAGTTACGGTCAAAGTTAGGTGGTGCAACTCAGCCTTAAACTCGTGTTTAGCGAACTATTCATGAATAATAATGATGGATTTTGTTATCCATTAAATGTCGGGAACGTGCAGTGTAGACTAAAGAAACAAAACAGTAGTGCAATATCACTTTTAAAATTCTCACAAGATTCAAAAGATGGCCACATCATCATTCATTCAATTAACTTTTGGGTTATCTATATATATAAAAGAAAGTCGTGTTAGTTACACCACTTATAACTCAAGAACGGCTGAACCGATTTAGCTGAAAATTGTCAGGGAGGTAATTTAGAGCCAGGAGAAGGACATAGGATACTTTTTATCCCGTTCCTTTAAGGCGGAACAAATTTCGCCGGGTCAGCTAGTTAGAAATAAAAACTAAAAGGTTATTAGAAACTAGCTTTTGCCCGCGGCTTCACCCGCGTGAAATTTAGTTTGTCACAGATCGTCATAAATTATAGCCTATATGTTATTCTGGGTTATAAACATTAATACTGTAAAGTTTCATCAAAATCCGTTCAGCAGTTTTTGCGTGAAAGAGTAACAAACATCCAGACATCCAAACTTTCGCATTTATAATATTATAGTAGGATTCGCATTTATAATATTAGTAGGATAATTAAAATCAGACGAATTGACGATTTTATATTTCCAGACGGGGCAAGCCCTTGCAGTATCGGTTGAAGTTTTGCGACACGCAAACATGGTCACCGGTGGCGCTGGTGTCGTTAACAGCCTCATACACATCATCCTCAAGGTATGTTGAAGTCTGCTGTTCACTTTGACTCTTAAATGATTACATGCTGTGTGTTATAAAATCCTTATGGTAATTATTTATCATTGTAACAATGATAATGAAAAAGTGTCTTGTGACTTGTACCAGGCCTGTTCATCTCCGCGAGTTTACATCGAAAACAAAACACGCACGATGGCCCACCTACAGGATACTATTCGACAAGGCCTCACATACGAGCGAACATTGACTCACGCACGCGTATTCTTGTGTATGATGGAAGAAAATAAAGAAAATGGTGTACTAAATGCTGTGCAGTATTTAACTGCCTAAATAATAATAAAAACACAGAATGTACTTTTTTAAGTTGCCTCAAGACACTGAGAGGTAAATAAGTAGTTTAAAGTGTCAAAAGAAGCGGAGATGTGTATGGATCAACGTGTGAAAGCAAAAATCCGAAAACACTTGCTTTTATGGGGGGTAAATAGGCCGCAACTCGCGACGTATCAAACAGTTGATACATGCCTTTTTCCTTACTTTTTTACATCAGCCGGGATATCTTTTTAAATACTGGTGTGATTTAAATGAATTTGGTATCAATTTAAAGTTAAAAGTTTAATCTCTAAAATGGTGCTACTTTTTTTGTTACTAACAAATTGGTTAGTACACAAGATCGCGTGGAAACAACTTCATGTAAGTGATTCCATACTTTTGCTCGCAAGTGTAGTTGAACTATGGTAGCGCCCCCCTGTCATTGAGTTTGGTGGGACAGTTAAGCGTGGGTCATCTATAGCTTCGGCGCAGTGCCGATCACTGACGTTTGTCAACAAAATGGTGCTTGACTCTTGAGACAGGCTAAATTACACCATATTGTTAATGACATTGAGCATACATTATTTTAAATACCTTCGCGAAGTAAAACTTCTGTACGTAGTACTTATTATTATTCTGTGCTTGTACATTAAAATCATCTTACTTTTACCCGACTGCGCCAAAGGGAGGGTTATGTTTTTCCACATAGTGACTTTAATATAATAAATTACATAAGCACTTTTTTTTAGCGGAAGACTATTATCTTATAGTCAAAACCACATTTTTCTTTCACTGGCTGTTATAAAAGAAAAACGTGATATCTATCTATCTAGATACACGTTGTTTTCAATGAAGAACTAGTAATTGATTGATCAAAGTTCCAATTACAAGATAATGGTAATAAAACTTTTTAAAATGTTTTTATTTTTCCAGTATCGCAAACACGGTGAAAAGCCAACGAACCTAGAGTTGTTCCAATTCACGGCAGCTACACTGTTCTTCTGTCATGCCGTGATGTCCAACCGGACTGCACAATCGATAATCGAAGATGCGCAGGCGCGAGCGATTAACGAATACCGGGATACGCTTAGGAGTAATCGTCACAAGTAAATTTTTCACTGTCGTCCGCGCTAAAATCTTGTCCGCACTAGTCATTTATTTATTATTTATTTTACCTCATAGGGCCGTTCAAGTATTACGTAAGCAGATTTCTTACCATTTTTTACCCCCCCGCCCCCGTTGTCATCAAAAGTAAGCAAAGCACTTACCCCCTCCCCCTATGCTTACGTAAACATTTTTAGTTATAAATGTTTTTTATACAGTGTGAGTCACGTTAAAGTGTTCATATAAAGATAGATGAAACTAGACCTATTTTTATGGACAAAAAAGAGGTCAAAAGATGTTTGAGATATGTTCTTGATTTTTTAAAGATTTTTTTTTCTTCCAATTACTTATTGTAAAGAAAACGTATTACTTTTAAACTAAGCGGTATATCCTGATAAAATAAAAACAGTAATAATGCTAAATAACAGGCGATACTAAAAAAATACATAAAATACACAAAAAAGGCCAACAAATAATAAAAAATGATAGGTACTTTTTGAAAAAAAATATGCTTTTAAATTCGTGTTTTTTGGTTATTTGATAAATTTCTCCAAAAAATTCCCCTATAACCGGTGGTTTTTATTACTTTGTATTATTCTCTATTGTATTACCTTCGTAAAACCAAAAATCGCATGTCTCTATATCCCTATCACAACGTTTGCAATGATGAAATAACTAACGATGACGTAATCATCATCTAGACCCCCTACCCCCCATGTCATCCAAAATAAGCAAAACAGAGACCCCCCACCCCCCCTTGGTGCTTACGTAATACTTGAACGGCCCCTAATAGTAATGTTTGTGAATACGAGCGTTAGTCGAGTAACTCGCCTTTAGTAACTAAACTACTCGCTACTGACAAAAAATCGTTCCTTTAATTTAGGAGGAGTATACATGAACTTTATGTACTCGACTAAACCGCTATAAATTACTCGCCAATCGACTAAATTACTTGACTAGTGCGAACGAGGCTTTCCGGACATAGCACGCTCATAAAAACCTTAGGTTTACACTAAACTAAATGCCTTCTTTGAAACATAATTGAATGGTATCAACGTCTTTTTCCATCACACTAAATAACATTTGCCTTTATTTCAGGAAAATATTTGACAAACTGAGCGCGGAATCCAGGAGAGTGCAAGGCTCCGTTCAAGGCAACACCGAAGTCATCCGCGGTATCAAAAACATCGTCGATAAAGATCAATATTTCGCGGATGTGCTACGCATCAACAAGGACTTGAACCAACACAAATTGAGGATCTCAATGACCGCAGACGGCCGTGTCAACCTCAATGCACAACACAAGTTTGAACCATCTTTGTTGTCTAGTATGGGGCCAGAAGGACGCTCTGAACTGTTCACATCGTTGGGGCCAGCTTCTTTGTCGACTCAGAACGTCCCTACCCGAGTGCTGCCCTCAACTGTGGCCGTACAAGCTTACAATTTAGAGGAGGAGGATAGAGGTATTTTAGTAGGCATTCATCCTGGGGAAATCTTGCGCATAGGCACATTCCTAGTCCGCGTTAGCTCGACCGGCGCTGAAAACGTAGCACTACTTTTAGAGAACCTCAGCCAAGATGTATACGCGAACCTCATGACTGTCTCATTCAACGTGATCTCTCGACTAATCCCAGAGGAAATCGGTAGGTTGAGACTGCTGAGCCCTGACGAAGATTTGATCGTTCAAGTTGTGAAATTCGTATTTAATTACATGAAACACCAAAGACCTTTAGGTGAACCTTGCCGGAATAACGATAACGGTATTGTTATTGTGCTCAAAGAGTTCTTCCAAGAAGGTGTTGTTAGGCAGGAAACTATACTGCTGTTGAAAGAACGACTGGTTGGGTGGGTAGACGAAGAAATAGATCGCAGACGGCTCGAGTTTCCGAACAAGAAAATGATCGTTTGCGATAAATGCAGAGGTGTGAGGTTCGCTTGAGCGTTGTTTCAATAGTACATATTATTATGACCAAATGCCATAGAAGCGCTAATTTTGAAATGTTTTACTTTCGTAATGAAAAATATATTGGACCATAATATTGTATTGATAGTCTGTTCTATGTTATCCAGTAAATTCTACAAAAAATGTCTTGTAACCAAACATATCAGAAACGGCCAATTTTGTATATTAACTTAAATATACCAGTAAAATATGTATAATAGAGTTAAAATGTGCATTTTGCATTGCATAACAAATTATATTTCCATAAGAAATTAAATCGGGCTTTGGTACACTATTTAAATCTGTTTACATATTACACAAATAATCTAAAAAATATTTAATATTATTGGATAGTATCACAGGAATAAGTGACATATCATAACACGCCTTATAATAAAATATTATTGTTCTTGTATATTATTATAAATGTATTTCAATTATAAGAAAATAGAATACAGTAAGTACAAAAACACGAGGTAGGTCTTTTTACCTAGCTAAATTATATTGGGCGGAATCCCAAATTTTACAAATTAGTATTTTAATAAATTACATTGCAAATATTCAGTATCACACTTTTGATATAATCAATAAAAAATATCATTACTAGGACAAATGATTGAGTATGATACAATTTAATCTCAATAGGTATGTTCCTGCTACCCTTATCAGGTCGTCGGTCCACCTTGTGTGTGGATGTGGTGCGATGTGAAAGTCATTAGGCTCCCCGTAGGCCTCCGCCTATGTTCAGCAGTGGACGTCCTATGGCTGAAATGATGATGATGATGTAAAATTATTACCAGTCATTTGCGTCTCGTAGTCGGGTATAACATAATAACCTCGTTTCTTCGATTCTAACGTCATATTCATCTTTAGTGTTTACAGAATACTTACTAATTTTAAAAGCAGGAAGTTAAATACATATGTGTATTCTAAAACAGAATACATCTTGTTATCGAACCAGAATACATTTCGTTAACAAACTCGACAGCCAATAATAACGCTTCCAATAATCAAATTCTTGTCAAACGAATGAAACACATTTTTTTAACATCTACTTTTATTGATGTCATTTCTGACTTACAAACTTATACAACCTTTATTAATGAGTGTATTATATTTTATTTTAATTTTACCTTTTCGAAAATTCTCTTTCCTTTTTCCATTCGGTTAAAAGTCTCTAGAGAGAAAAATTCGAACTATACCTGAATGAAGCTCGCTTTTATATTTTTACTGAAAATGCTTATGAATTAAAAAAATATACTAATTCTGTAAATTTTAATAATATTTTATTAGTTTGTAAGAGCACATAGCTGTGATAAATTAGAGACTAGTAAAAAAGCACAAAAACCAAATTAATTATTACTTATAATATTGTTATATTATTTTACTTACCTGTGCTTATTGATATTTATTCATAAAATATTGTGCCTTCATATTCACTCATTTTGCTTACACTTTATTAGTAAATAGTTAAGCAGAATAATTTCTTGTTGCTAGAAATAAATAGTTATTAGAAATAAAGAGTTATTCTGAAAATTCAAATCTTTTTATACCCAAAATTATATCCTATTTATTTTTGCATCTTTACCAGAAACAAGCACATAAAAACCCGTTTGGAGTAGGTAGGTATTGTGCCAAGGATAAGTTGGTACTTTTATTTATACCAAAATTGATCGAAATATTATGTAGTGTGGAGCACGCACTTTACTTCGCTTCGCCTCGTCCGATCGATTTCCGAAAATTGACAGTAAATGCGCTCGAGTAAAATAAAGAATTCGAAATGCCCGAAGTAGAATACAAAGCGTCTGACTACAATCTCGGATGCTAAAACTGCATAATTCAATAAATCAAATCAAATTATTGATTAAAAATCCAGTCCTGTTGTCTTCCCTAGCCAGGGGGGGACAACAGGACTGCACCCGAATTACACAAAATAACGCATATTAATAAAAACACCACTAAATAAAACAAGTTAAGAAAAATAAACAAGATTCTTGTTCAAATATGGCCTAAGAGTTTTATTTAAAATTAATTAAACTATGTTGCACCTTAGCTAGATAGACAAAACTTTGGGATTACGTAGGTTGAAAGTTGGCACTCATTTGAAAAAAAAACTGTGATTGTACTACCAAAGGAAATCATTATACAGGGTGTTACAATTTTTATTTTTTATTTTTTTCCATCATGGAAGGTAGTAATAGAGCTGTTGTTTTTTTATATTATTACTATGAGACACAACTACACCTGTGCAATAATTTAAATTCGTCAGTTACATAGTTTTGGAGAAAAAAATAAAACAGTTTTAGGTATAGTTGGGTGGCGTGGCTCCCTGGGGGGTATTGGGGGGGTGAAATTTTGCACATTATACTATCTTTATATTGTTGGCCACAGTTTCGAACTTCAGGCTCTGGGGGCACTTTTTCCAAGACTATCCTGCTACGCCCTTTACAGTACCTACTTAAATGCGCTCAAGTGAAATAAGGATTCGAAATGCCCCGAAGTAGAACACGAAGCGTCGTGCGTCGGTTTGCGTCGAAACATTCGTCCTTAGGAATCTGAACTTTGTTATAATGACAGACAGTGCAAATTGTAATGGCAACCGCCGAGATATAGGGATATTATCTATAGTAAGTACTACCAAAGATGATAAACTTAAACGAAGCAAACCATAATACGGGGAATTCCCAATAAAATGTTCATTGCGTGCGTAAGTAGGTACAACTATAAACACCTACTTACGAAGGCACTTTGTCTATGGTTGGTAAAGTACAGTGCGATAGTGCGAACAACAGTTTATTATCCTTTCCAGTCTGACTTAAGAAGTCAGTTTCAAGTCGCATGTGGTGCAGTAAGCAGTGTTATTTTAGTGTAGAACTAAAAATAAAATTAATATTGACCACATGAAAAATATTGAGTGCGTGATTTCTTATCTGAATTTATCGTGAGTACCTACTTAGATTAATCTTATTATCGGTACCTGTTTGTGTCATTGCATCTATTAATAGGTTGTCTAGAAAGTATGTAGTAGTAACTAAACGTAAAAGTTCTTTTTATTTCTATACACCACTAAATTTTTATCACCGAAAAAATTTTAACAGGTTATGTAGAAACGTGTGAAAAATTTAAAGCAAAAGAAAAACAAATGTTTTTCATAAAGTTAATTTTTTTATTAAATTTTCTTTAGTCCGTATTTTACGCGTCACAGCTGGGTCACTCCTCTGCTCGCTAGAGTAGTCGTACGCGCTCGCACGTTGCATCGATCTGTCTGTCTCGCTCACGCCTCGACCACGTTTCCAGTGTTATTATTACATACTTAGCTAACTTAGACCATTTTGAATTCTAATAAGTGTTACATTATCGTACGTAAATAGTGCTAGCGACGTGTGTGTCAATAAATTACCAATTTTAGGAGGATATTTTGAGTCACTTTATTTTACTTTTTTTTTTGCACAAATGGGATCAGTATCAATAACTCATTACCCAGAATTTTTTTTTTCGGTGATTAAAATTTAGTGGTGTATATCTATACTTATGCTGCTTTTATTAAGTGTCTACATCAATATTATTTGTATTTATGCTTTTCGTAAATGATACGCTCTACTAGACTCGTTTAAAACAAAACTGAGTTTATAAAAATGTAGAGCTATCTTTTAACCATTTTTTGATGGATTTTTTTTCTCGCTCATTTATGTAGGTACTTACCTCGCCCGTACCGACGCTCAAAGTAATTGATAACTTCTTTCTTCTTCAAATCTTTTATTGGTTGAACTTTATATTTGCCTTAGGTAAACATGGGTTAAAAACGTAATAGAGTTTTACAAACTTGTAGTAGAGTCAGTCTCAATACAGGTTACATAAATTAGAGAGAGGAATTCCCTAACAAATTGTAGATAACAAACTAAGTTTCAATAAAATATTTTTCTACTTAAGTCGTCTTCTATAATTATTTTAATTTATTATCATGATGATTGTACTAGGTAACTAGGTACCTATATCAAGTAGTATTTTATCATGAATGTAGAATACAATCGTACCCTTTTATACATTTTACTACATAAGTAGTACACTAATATTTATTTTATATCCTTACAATGCAACGAAACAGTCACAATGAATGACCATTTGTCTGTAACAAGGCCTGTTTCGAGTGCTATCGCTACAAGATGGCATCGCTAGCGATTCGCGAGGCACCTGCACCACCTCCGATGTCGGCCGTAGAGATTCAACAGGAGTATTTCGAAGCTGTAGGGAGCGTGGACTGGGAACTGTGAGTACTTATTTGTGTATTTTTTTTATTTTTAGCTTTATTTGTAATTAGATAACCATCAATCCCTAATTTTTAAGTGCCTCTATGAAAACAAAATGTCTGCTATGTGTTACCATAGGGGCAGGGCCGGATTAACCATCTCGGGGCCCCTAGGCACAGCTCGTTTTGGGCCCCCCTTTTTTTTGTCGCGGAGGAAATGCTTTGCGTACCGTCACCACTGCCGGGGGACAGGGTGGTTGGTGTGTGGGACTCCCGGCGCCCTAATAAGGGAAAAGGACGGGGTATATCTACTAAAACCTCCGCGGCGTTCCGTCGTAGCCCGAGTGGGGGTGTCGCGAGTATCCGACCGTAGCCTTAGACTTCCGCGACACCACGCTACAGCGACAGCTCGCCTACACGGCGGACCCTACACGCCCCCCTTGTGGGGGTCCGATGGGAATGCCCAAAACGCCAAGCCGTTCCCGTCAGACGAAGGTGACAAGGGTGCCCCCGCACCCCCGGCCTGCTGGCCGCCACCTGGGGGCAGAGTAGAACGGTCGTACAACCGCCTCCTCCGGCCCCTTCTCCGTCTGCGGAGCGATGGGGCGAGAAGATCGTTCTCCCGCTCGCGCTACGCTGCCTCCTTCTGAAGGATGATCTCTTCGCAAAAGGAGGCGACCACCTTCCAGCATCCTTCACTTCCCAGCATGGCGTTGACCAGGCTCGGAAGCGAAAGATCCCGGCCCACGACCGCAGTGAGGACACGGCGCTGCTCCTACCAGCCTGTGCAGACCGCGAGGGTGTGCTGCACCGTGTCATCCGCCGCGCCGCATTTGTGGCACGTACGGGGATTCCTGTCGCCCGATTCTATGCAGGTACGAACCGAAGCAGCCATGCCCGGTCAGCACCTGCGCCAGACGGAACGTGAGGAACCCGTGCGGTCGTACCGTCCAGAACAGGACCAATGGCGGCCAAACTGCGCGCGAGTCATGTCTTCGTGACGGCGCCGCACCGCTCCGGGGCCGGGCGCTTTCCACGCGCCTTCTGGTCTGCCATCCAGTGATAGATGACAGGCATGACCCCAGCTTCTAGCTCCCAAGGAGGAGTACCAGTGAGGACGCACGCCGCAGCGTGCCCTACCGTGCGGTAGGTCCTTGCGACCCTCTGCGCTATGGCCCGCTGGGGTCTGCACAGAAGGGCAGCATTCTCCCTCTTGTTGAGTGCGTCCGCCCAGACTGGGGCGCCATACAGCGCCATGCTCCTCAGAACGCCGGCATAAAGTCGACGACACCTCGTTTGTGGCCCTCCCAAATTCGGGAGGAGCCAACTCAGTACGCTGGCTGCCTTGAGGAGGCGTGGCGTTAGCCCGTTGAAGTGCGGGCTAAAATGCCACCTCCCGTCAAGCGTGAGGCCCAGATATTTCATTTGGCCTTTGACGTCAATCCTAAAAAGGTACTGAGGCACTCTGTGATGTTGAAGCGCCTAGAGTATGGTGGGATGAGGGATGGTATTGAAAGCGTTGGCTATATCGAATGATACAGCCAACACACCCTCAGACCTCTCCCTAGCCTCCACAGTGAAGCTTTTTAGCCTCTGAAGGGCGTCGACTGTCGACCTGTCATGTAAACCAAAGCAGTAATGCCAACGTCACGAAAATTAATTAGGTTTCACAATATCGAAATATGAAGATTGAATGTGTAAACCAAAATAAGGCGAAGTTTTGAGGTGGTTTGAGTTTTGTTGCATAAAAATAATCTTTAAAATTATTTTTTTTCATTTTTTTATCGGGAGTGCTGGGCCCCTGGTCATAGTGGGCCCCTGGCCATAGTGGGCCCCTAGGCACTGGCCTAAAGTGCCTTATGGATAATACGGCACTGCATAGGGGTCACTTAAAAAAATGAGATTGATGGTGAAAACGGGCATAAGTATGTTGCGGGCGGCGCAGGAAGCAGGACCCGACCGGTCCTTTCTGGAAATCCTTGGGTGAGGCCTTTGTCCAGCAGTGGACGTCATTTGGCTGAAACAAAACTAGGTCACACGCATTGATTAAGATAATTAATAATAGTACTAAGTGATAAAACATTTAGGTAAAATACTAATGTTAAATATAAATATTGATTAATTTAAGAAGGAATTCACTCCCGTCTAGGTGTTCTGCATAAAGAAGTTACAAAATAATAATACTTACTTCGGTAGGTACTTATCCATCCATCCTCACAAACTTTTACACTTACTATGTAATATTTTCATAGGTAGGATAGGTAGTAATTAAAGTATTTTTTGTTTACAGTTATGAAAAAAAAGATCGAAAATATTTACTTCAAAAAATTGCCGTAGCGCTGTGTGGTCCGCCGACCAAAGAAGGAAACCTGACTACTGGTATGTTATTTCATAATTAAAAACACCATAATTTTTATTCGGGAATTTTAAAAATGTTGAAATATTAAACCTTATAGACTATTTTTGTAGATGGCCACCTGAAACTTCAAGGCTATGAACTTCGCGACGAGGAAAGCATCATGAAAGTGTTCGAAAAGATATGTGAACAAGGTGAATTTCTTCTATAATTTTATTATTCCCACTTAACGTTGCTGCTGCAACTCTTGTTGCACACAGGATCTAAAAACCCAAATAGATAAAGACTGAAAATTCGCTTTTCTTTCTTCTTACCCATATTTCGTTGCGGGTTCAACCACTAACAGGCGGACGCACTTGCACTGGAGGGAAGTCAGAACGTAGTAACGGAAGAACATTAAGGCCGGCAATACACAGACAGGTCGAGCAGTTAGTCAGTGATCAACATACACGGACCGCTCTTGCAGTCAAGAGTCAACAGCTTGAAGCTGCCAGTGATAACTCGAGCAGTTGGTATTAACTGCTCAACAAATCACAAGCGCGCGCGCCGTGGAATGAAGAAAGTGGGCGGAGGTCACTGCGCGAGACCTGTCGACAGCTCGAGCAGTCAGTGTATGGCTGGCGACTGCTTGACCGCACGATGAAAATTCACCGTGCTGTCGACCGCCCGAATCAGTTGCAACTGCTCGAGCGGTTCGTGTTATGTGCGTCCATAGAACTCTGTAGTTCACTGTGCAGTCGCAGCTTGAAGCTGTCGACCCTGACTGCTTCAAGCGGTCCGTGTATTGCCGGCCTAACTCCTATGTTCTTCTGATTAATTTCGTTGCGGGTCCAATGACAGTTAACTTGACCTTCACTGGTTGTGTTTTTATTGGCGGTCAAGCTGTAGATCCTGACTACACAGGAGTTGCGGATGGATGGACGTTGTGAACATTTAATATCGTTCTTTTTTATTTGATTAAAAACCCTTAACCGTATGAGACTGCAGTAACAAACAATTGATTTCTATTGTGTCTCGATTCGCTGGCACTTGAGGGGTTAAATTAATGCACTAATCATTATTTTATTACAGCAAAATATTCATACAATGGCGACAATATTCTCATTTCAATATTGAGAATAGTATGCGTAGTTCCCAAGGAAGAAGTGCCGTTTTACCTTCCAACACCCTCGGACTATTGGGTTGATTTGCATGGAAAAAGGGAGGAAGTTCACACATACATTTTTCACGTTTTTTCTTTGAGGCAGTGCATTTCTATGAAGCCTGGAGGTAACTAACTATAAGTATTTTAAAACGTTGTTAATCCAGTTTAAGCTAAATCAGCACGAAAATAACAGACATACTAGCTCTTAAGTAAACAAATTAATGTTTTTTGTTGTTAATAAGTTCAAACATTTACGTGCATGAACATAGGTATTTGATTGTATTGGTCTGGGTGTTTTCTATCATAAGTGCGCTATTATATTATTTCTCGAGATGTATTTTTTGCGCTGACCCGATATCTAGTTGGTATTGTTGATCGAAGATTAATCAGCTTTTTTATTTTCTAGTAAAGAGTTGTCGAGTGTACATAGATCACGACGCACGAGTCTATAAAAACTGGGAAGATTACTTATCTGAAAACACTTTGCCGAAATCTGTCCTCGTGGTTCCAGAAAATGGCGAGTACAAAGGCAGAGTAAGTTTAAGTAAATGTATACAGGGTGGAAACGATAAGTGACCCCACTCTTATTATTATATCTATAGCTATACAAGATAAACGTAAACGAACTAAAGTCGCTGACAAAGCCCGATGGATTAGCAAGCTGAAATGGCAATAGGAAGGGCACATAGTTCGCAGAACTGACAGCCGATGGGGCAGCAAGGTTCTGGAGTGGCCGCGTACCGGAAAACGCAGCGTGGTACTTCCACCCACAAGGTGAACCGACGACATTGTAAAGGTAGCAGGAAGGAGCTGGACGCAGGCTGCTACCAACCGGGCAACATGGAAAGCATTAGGGGAGGCCTATGTTCAGCAGTGGACGTCCTATGGCTGAGATGAGGATGATACAAGATATCTAGAAACTGGTTACTGATGCTGAAAGTGCTTAACGAGCTCTATCAAACAGTATCAATCTGAAAATTCAATGATTCCAGCTTCCATTTGGTAAGTAAGTACAGCCACTTGAAAAGTGTGTTATCTTTTCAGAATGTTCGCAGGCAGGGAGTAGGTGACATTGACATGCCAAAAGTTAGGCTGACGGTGGTTCCTTCACCAGCATTGGGATTGGGAGCAACAGTGATTAGCGCTACTGATAAACTTAGCACGGGTAAAATGTTTATGCAGTTTTATTGATTGTATATTTTTTTAATCACAATAGGGTATTTGCCTCCACCAATCAATTGACGTATTTTTTAAAAACTGTCAAAACGAGACTCCAATAGATTTTGTATGGCAATACCTACTAGCCAGTGACCTCACTTTTTTGTCAACTCAATTTAATTATTTTTTTCAAATACAATGCAACCAAAAATCTTAATTTACATGTAATTTAAAATTAATTAAGTTTTTAAGACCAGAAAGAAGTGCCTTTTTAAAAAAGTTGTGCTTTAGAATTATTGGGGAGTGGTGGCAAATACCCAATTTAAAAAAAAAATAATGCTCCGTTACGTGGTCAAGTCACATATTCTTTTGTTTTTTTTTTTCATAAAAAAGCTGAATAAATATTTTTGTGTGTGAGATCTTTTTTGTGATAGTAATAAAATTATCTTTCTTCTAAATTATTCAGTGGCCAACATTGGCGCCCTAGCAGGAGTGGTGGGTGCACTTGCCGCCCCAGCAATTGCGCCCGTGGCGCTTAGTGCAGCGATGGTAGTAGGTGTTGCTACCGGCAGCTATGCTATCGTACGGTCTTCGATCACTTTGACCGATAGAAATAAACACGAGCAAGTAAGTCACCACGAGTTTGTTAGTTTTGTTACTCTTTCACGCAAAAATTGAGAACTGGTTTGGTGAAACTTTAGTGCCTTTTTCCTGGGATGCGGATTTCAGCACGCGTGCGGATATGGTCTCTCCATAGATATATAGAGAGTTGCCAACTAATGAAACGCTAGTGTCGCATTACAAATTCACACACACAAAGAAATCAAAATGCTCATTATCCACTGCGGTATCAGTACTCAACGTTCGAATAATCTTTAGTACTACGCAAGCAATGTAAACTGTCACTGCTGTCATCATTGCTTTCACGAGCAATGTGTTCTGTTTTTGGGCGTATTGCTGCGACACCGTCCCCGCCCCCTTGGCACTTAACTAAAGGGAGATCCTTTAGTTTCTGTGATCTGTCATGTGGGTCTCTATAATCTGTGGCGTGCGTACATTATAATCACGTTGCTGGTTGCGTTCTAAAAAAACTTATGAAATAATAAAATGCGGGCAGCCCACGAAATTAAAACACCATAATGTTTTGTATAAAATTTTCGAACTGCGGACGAAGACACGTTGTTTTAACGCTACATTTTTACTAATTATCCTGCTTTCGCCTCCGAGATTTAATTTACCATGTAGTACCCCTGTACGACAACCCAATCCGCACACAATATTCAGCGCAGTAGTAGTAAAAAACAAAAGAGCGGGCAACCCCACCCCTACCACGCTGTGGGCTCGGTGTCCGAGCGGTCTCATTCCTTTGTGCGCACGCGCAACGACCGCACGCAGTATAAGAAAAATGCTTAAGTGACGTCACCAGGACGTTTTTTACCGACAAAAAACGTAATTATTTTAAGTTGTGCAGTGTAGTGACGAGAATTAGACCCAACACAAGGTTGGTTGTAACAACTATTTTGTGCAAGTGCTCGTACATTTTTATTATAAGCGTTGTGACACGACGCGTAACTTTGACCCATTTTTAGCTCCAAGTTAACGCGCGATGTTAACCAGTAGCCATTTTTTGCTCCGAGGTAATGCGAGATGTTACCCAGTAGCCATTCTTTTGCTCCGAGGTAATGCGAGATGTTACCCAGTAGCCATTTTTTATGATCAAACGAACTTACCAAGTGAAGTTCGATCTAAATTATCCTGTTTTCGCCGAAGAGATTTAAGGTCCCTCCCAACCCGAAGATTTCTATATCTTCTTCCCTGGAGGTAAACGTCAATGTCATCTCTTCTCTAAATATAATGAGACCGCTCGGACACCGAGCCCACAGCGTGGTAGGGGTGGGGTTGCCCGCTCTTTTGTTTTTTACTACTACTGCGCTGAATATTGTGTGCGGATTGGGTTGTCGTACAGGGGTACTACATGGTAAATTAAATCTCTTCGGCGAAAACAGGATAATTTAGATCGAACTTCACTTGGTAAGTTCGTTTGATCATTTAACCATAAACCTGTCGTCAACTTACTTTGTGACGATACGTTAGGCTAAAAAGTTGAAGATGTTTTCGTACTATCCGTTCGCTTTAAGTTTGCCGCTGGCGATATGACGTCACTCGAAGGGAAACGTCTATAGGTAACTATAACAAACTATATTTAAACTATTTTTTATTTATTAATATTGATAAGAATTGTGTATTTGCGTAAAATAAGTCACATTAATCGCGTTTAATCACTAACTAATTGCCTTTAATCGCGGTTGGGGGAGGGGACTCCCATTCCACGGACCGGCAAACTTAGCGCGAACGGGTAGTAACTAGTAATTGTTGTTCATTAAAATATTAGTTCGTATTTAATATTTTTTGTTTCAGAGTATAGGATTAGAAAACTCAGAGGCCCGTGCCAGTTGGATTAATATACTGGTGTCCAGTGTGGGAATGTCATGTAGCGCTGCTGGGAAGCTGTTGTCTTGGGCAGCCGCATCTGGTACTAACGTTAAGGTATTGTCTCAAGATAGTCTTTGTCAGTTTTATAAGTAGATCACCATCATAATCATCATCATCTCAGCCATAGGACGTCCACTGCTGAACATAGGCCTCCCCCAATGCTTTAAATGTTGCTCGGTTGGTGAACCTTTGCTGCCCAAATGCCTCAAGGTCCAAAAAAATGGCCCGTAAACAATACAAGAACACTATTTCATAATAGGTACCTACTTGCCTTTTAATAAAACTAATTGTATCTAAAACATTTCAGATTCTTATGAACGCCGTCCAATTTTTACAATATGCAAACCTGGGTTCTGGATGTATTGGAGTCGCCAATAGTCTAGGAGACATGATATACAAGGTTTGTCTTGATGATTGAGTTAAACATAGTTTTATTAATGAGTTGGAATTTTATTTTATTTAATAAAATAATGATTTTACAGTATAACAAATACGATGAAACGCCGACGGGCTTGGAAATATTCCAGTTTACGACGTCAGCCCTATTCTTAGGTATAGGCGTTATGTCCAACAGAACTGCGCAGGATATCGTACAAGACGCCCAAGCGGACACCATCAACAAAATGAGGGATGATCTTTCAAGCAATGCGAAGAAGTAAGCGATCTTAACTTAATCGTAAAAATTAGGCACAGTCAGCGTCAAATTGTTCGTGATAGTTGATGTTTTATAATTTTTCATGTTTTTGTAATTTCCAATACGATAATGTTATTGTTTATGGAATAAATGACTATGACCCAAAGTGGCCAAAAAGTAGGCAACACAACCTTAATCCAAACCAAATGTAACAAAGACGTGTTGCGAACTTTTTGACTACTTTGGATGACACGAACTATTTGACGCTGACTGTGCTAATTGAGCACTTACTAATTTAAAGCCAATTTCTAACAATGTTTTAACTTTTGTCACTGTTTTGTCCTTTTACGTCATTCCGAAATCAACCTTTGATTGTGAAGAGACATTGTCATGAGTTTATGAAGTGATTATTTTTTTAAATAATATAGTCTGACGCAACGTTCGAATGTTCCTCAGGAAAATGTTCGATAAGATGTCTGCAGAAACTCGCAGAGTCAAGGGAATGGTGCAAGGCAATGCTGACGTGATACAGGCTGTCAAAAACATTGAAAACCCTGATGAATTCTTCGCAAAACTTGCAAGAATTAACAAACAGCTAAACAAGAACAAACTTCGCATTTCCCTATCGCCAGACGGGCAACCACTAATTAACAACAATTATAAAGTAGGCGTTGGCGACTTACAAGCGCTCGGTAAACAAGGTCGAGACCAACTATTTGCCAAATATGGCCCAGCAAATGTAACCACTAAGAATGCACCAACTAGAGTGTATGCCTCAAATACCTCAGCCAACAGTTCGTCGTTGTCTCAACAAAACACATCTTGGACCGTAAGACCCGAGGAAATCATCAAGATCACCACATTTCTTATAAATCTAAGCAAAATAGATCAAGACCAACTCGCGGAAATTGTTTCGATTTTAAGTGCCGATATTCACGATGCGTTTTTACTTCTATGTGCTGAAATGATAGCTTCATTAATACCAGCAGAAATTAAAAAACTTTTGGCCTTAGATTCCCACTTTAAAATTCGCATTATCCTTTTCATATTCAATTACATTAGATCACAAATCAGCGTAGACGATCCCAATTCAAATCTTTCTTTTGCGAACATACTGAAAGAATATGTAAGAGAGGGTAGAATAAACAAATTTACGCTCTTGAGACTCAAAAAGAAGCTGATGGAAAAAGTGGACAAATATAAAACCGATCCTCGTTTGTTTGACGACATGCACAGTTTTCGAAACACCTACAACAGCAGCGAGCTATCGACAATCCGGACTGGAGAAGTCCTCAAAATAGGAGCCCACGAGATTCTCATAAAAAATAACACAACAGAAAAACTCGAAGAATACCTAGAAATGTATTCTCAAAGCCAATGCGACAAGTTTCTAAGCCTGTGCTTTGGATTAATATCGTCTTTGTCTAAAACGCAGCTACAGAGTTTGAATAAAATTAATCCTGACGAAGACGCAGTTTTGCAAGTTTCGTACTTCTTAGTTCACGAAACTGAAGGAATACTATTTGACTTCTTAATTGAAGAAAGTATGGAGACAGAATTATTATTAGAGGATATGATTGTGTCTCTTAAAGATGATTTGATGAGATGGTGTTATAAGCAGAGGGTTCGCCCTCACAAAACTTGTGAAGTGTGCAAAGGAATCCGTTATACCTAAACTAGCGACCCGCCCCTGTTCGCACAGTTACAAATTTACAATGTATTAAACTTATGTACCTAAAAACCTTCCTCTTGAATCACTATATCTAATAAAAAAAACTGCATCAAAATCCGTTTTAAAGATATACCTAAGCATACATACAGACAGACAGCGGATAGACATTTGTTTTATACTATGTAATTATAATGATATGGTATAATGTGGTGCTCGTAATTATATCGCCAAGTGCCTTATAGTATTATCAATTTAAGTTAGCTCTAAAGATACAAATACATGTCAATATAAATAAGAGTATATTTCAACATTTCGTTGAATAACATAAAAATAATTTAAACAACAGTGAATAAATAAGTTGCTAAATTTTATTATACTGACTTTCATTTCAAAATTACACAAGAAACCAAGTTTTGATAAAGTTATGTACTAATAAGTAACTTCTATAATGTACCTAGACTGAAAATACAATAAGTTTATTGGGGGAGAGTTTTCATAAGATTTTCTTTGCCTCGTTCTTCGGTAGATGACGGTGGGTTATACTCAAAAAATTTTGCAATAAAATACCTGAAAAGAATAATTCACTACTTAGTTCAAACATTACTAGCTTCTTACTTCTTTGTCCATTATAGTAGAGACAATAGATAAGTAAAATAAATCGTAATACTCGTACATACTTGACGCGACGCGACCCAACATGAAAAAATCAAGTAGGTACTTAGTCGTTGTATTTATTACTGACCTACACGTCGCGTATTACACAAATCACGTGAAGTATTTGGTCGCATTACGTTGCATCGCGTCGCCTAATGTAGCGTTGCGTCGCGTCGCGTCACTTAATGTCGCGTTCCGTCTCTTCATGTCACGTTCTGTCGCTTTAGGTCGCTTTCCGTCGTTACATGTCGCGTTCCGTAGCTTCCATGTCACGTTCCGTCGCTCACTTAGGACAGTAAGCGAAAGCGTCTCACCAGACCAATATCTCGACGGTGACTAGTACGGCCGCGGCGGCGGTCTGCGCGGCCACGCGAGCGGTGTCGGTGGCGCCTCGCAGCGCGGCCGCCAGCATCGCGTCGCCGGCGTCCGACGCCGCCTCGAGCGCGGCCACTAGCAGCGCCGGCGCCTCTAGCCACCGAGGCCGGCGGCGCCATCAGGACTACTGCTCAAAGTTCAAATCGAAAGCGTCTCACCAGACCAATATCTCGACGGTGACTAGTACGGCCGCGGCGGCGGTCTGCGCGGCCACGCGAGCGGGGTCGGTGGCGCCTCGCAGTGCGGCCGCCAGCATCGCGTCGCCGGCGTCCGACGCCGCCTCGAGCGCGGCCACTAGCAGCGCCGGCGCCGCTAGCCACCGAGCCCCGCGGCGCCACCAGGACTGCTGCTCAAAGTTCAAACAAACACAATAAAGGCACAATTGGGTATTTGATACCATTCCCCAATACTAAGGCACAACTTTTTTAAAAGAACACTTTATTTTTAAAGTACCTGTAAATTATGATTTTTGGCTGCATTGTCATTGAAAAAAGTAGGTAGTTGAGTTGAGAAAATAGTGACGTCATAAGCTAGTATTGCCATGACGTCACTAAGGAACTGCTAAAGTTCAAAAGATACAAAGCCTGTGCAGTGACTAGAATACTGACCGGCCACTGCAAACTAAACAAACATAAATCGAACATGAACATGACCGAGGAAACTCTGTGCAGATTCTGCCATACAGAAGAAGAAACGGCCATGCATGTTCTTTGCTCATGCTTCCCGCTTATGAGCAAAAGAAGTATCCATCTCGGGCGACACATCATGCACCCGGATGAGATAGCAGATATCACGCTCCAAAGAATCTGGAAATTTATAGACTCAACGGGACTAAGCAGTGAACTCTAAAGACAAGGGCTGCCACAATAGATCAAACCTGGTCGAGTTGGCGCAAATAAAGGCCCAAAAACCAATAATAATAATTATTGCCATACAAAATCTATGGGAGTCTCGTTTTGACAGTTTTAAAAAGTACGTCAATTGATTGGTGGTGTCAAATATCCTATTAGGTACGCATGTTCATAAAATGATAAAATACATATAAAAACATAGTAAGCGGATACAAACCTTCGACATAACGGCAATAAGGAGCAATAAAGAGGTGGCGGCAGTGACGAACGCACTCAGCTTCCCATATCCCATCACAAGACGAATGGTAGGTTTCGTAATTCTGCAAATAGAGTAGACGTACCAGCTACCATCAACCAATCCATAAAGGGATTATTTGCATTTCCAAAATATTCTTTTTTTTTAAGTAGATACTTAAGGTATAGTTACGCGACTTTAGACCATAAAGATCGATAAAATGCCTCGATATTACATCGTGGCGTACATCCGAGCCCTATACTTGTAATGAACGATAGATTTTAAAAATAGGTTTACGGATAGGACACCTACTCTGCTAACGCTATTCTGGTGACTACAAAATTAAATGCGATAGTCCTTGTACTGCTTCAGTGCTCATCAGTTGGCGCTACTGTCTTCGCCACTAGCAATTGACAGTGACCTTACTCTACAGCAGCCTTTCTCAAAGTGGGCGACGGCGATAACCCCTCCTTGCGAGCGCTGCAGGCCTAAAGGGGGACGGTAAGAGGTCCAGAAAAAAAAATCGGATCGTTTGAAGTTATAGCGGTTTTTAAGGAGGTGGAAAAATGGGGGCGCTAAAGGCAGTAGAAAAAATAAGCTTGGGAACCCCTGCTCTACAGTGACGCCAACTGCTGAGCGCTACGGGGCTACGGGACTATTCCCACCTCTCGTTCCCACCAATGCAACTCCTGTGTAGCCAGGATCTACAGCTAGACCGCCATAAAAACCCAACCAATGAAGGTCAAGTTTGTCCCGGGGAAAGTTAAACTGTCATTGGACCCGCAACGAAATTAATCAGAAGAATATAGGAGGAGTTCGAAATTGAGGTTCGACTTCCTTCCATTGCAAATCGGGTGAGAGGTGACAAAAAAAGGTTTAGAGTAGGCGCACACCGTTGATTTTTAGTTGGCCGATAGTTGTGCCCGATTTTAAATTGTATTAAGAATCGGCCAAATCGAATCGGCGTAGTGTGCGCACTCCCATACATGCCCATACTGATCAACTGCCCAAAACAATCGGCCGACGAAAAATCAACGGTGTGCGCCTACTCTTAACAACCTCTAAAAAAGAATATGCACCACTGACAATAAATATCAATTAAGGGGGCCATTCATCCATCATTGGCGTGGGCTAGTGCGTGATTCAAGATTTACCGTCTAGCGAAGCTGACATTGTTAAGCCGCTGTGCAACCTCGTCATCATCAAGCTCCAATTCCACCGGCTGCGAGGCGAAGGCACAAGCAGACATGGACACGCCCAGCAACGCCACCAGAAGAGCTCGGAGCTTCATACGCACTCCATCGGGACCTTCACCGTTCATGGATTTCAACTGGGAAAAACCAAGGTTAGTCACATCAATTCTGTTCTCGGTAGTTGAAAAGGCGAATCTTATACTTTTCGGATATGAGTTAACTCAAGGACAGCTAAGAATTACTCATTGAAATTATTTGAAACTTTATCTCCGTTTTTGGTGTTAGATTGAGCCCTAAGGGCGCAATTACGTGTACCTACCTATTGTTTGTTGTTGTGTAATACAAGAAACTTTTTTTTTTGCATTATAAAAGTAATCGGGGGACACGGCATTGACCCCGCCAAGTCAAGTAGTATCAGAGTAAATACAAATGAGTAGGTCATCTTCATAGGAACGCACGGGCGCGGCGCGGTTATATGTGAGCGCGCCAACACGTATGCGGCGCGCACGCACACACTGACAAAATTTAGCGGTGATTAGCGGTCAGGTGCGCCGAATTTTGTCAGTGTGTGCGTGCGCGCCGCATACGTATATTGGCGCGCTCACATACAAACCGCGCACGGTGCGTTTCTATGAAGATGACCTACTCATTTGTATTTACTCTGGTAGTATTTTACAGATAGGTAGTAACGGCAAACGGCTTTCAATCTTGTGATAGCTAACTAAAGCCTGGTCCGTGAGCATTGGACAAAATTCTACGTGCTCACGGACCAGGCTTTACCTACCTCTCGTTTGCGAGTTTGAATCGCTCATTGCCGATTTTAATGTGAGAAGCTGCTCAGTCTAAAAAAATTTAAGCATGACATTATACATGTTAAAACACCAATAATAACACCATTATTGTTAGAAAACCAGTATCTGTGGTCAACCAAAACCCATATCAATCACAATCCTCAAAGATTTCGGATGAAGCTCGATTCCCATCTTCGGTCTGATCATCACTCTTCATCAGGCAAGATGCTAGCCCAGAGCTTCCCTGTTGTTAGTAAAAAGGAATCCCCGAATCCTATTAGTTCCCCGTTATTGTGGAATGTATGCTTGGTTTTGAGGTCTTCATCATTGGTCTTCACCTCAATTTCACTTGAAACCTCAAATTTTTATTTAAAGAATAATGTGATAAAGCTTACCTTTTCCACCGCATTCGCGTGATTCTCATGTTTGAGCCGAAGTTGATCTAACAAGTTATTGCTTTCGGTCTCCATTTTTGCTTGAGAGGACTTCAAAATCCATTCATTGTAATCTTCGTTTTTGCATCAGAAATACATAATTCCATGAGTATCACACGAATTGTTGCTTTTTGAGTGTAATACAATTATTGTGACATAATGCCGCTCAGTCGGCTGAAGACAGACATTTCTAATTTTATTTTTTAATTTTATATGACTTGTTTATGTCAATTTTATGTGAATTTATTAGAGGTTTTATCGGGCTTCCTACATAGTTTTGTTCTTAGAGGTTTTGTTTGGTTTTGTTCCTATTCTAAAGAAATAGCGAGAAGATTAGAAAAAAACCCTGCTTCGAATGTCTTGCTACTCTAACAAACGCTAACTTTAATCGCAATATCTTTACAGTACAAAAGGCGAACTTAATGCCAATTGTGGTATTCTTTACCAGTCAACCTTTGGGCTAAATAGAAAACTTCGAGTAGGTGTTAGGTTAGTACATACATATTAAATGATAGAAGAATATTATCGCTATTATAATTATTAGGTATTCTGAGTATAAATGATTGAAAATTCGATTAAAATCCACAACATCGTTTATTATACTTGATTCACAGATCACAAACGCAGAGGTATTGTCTGAAAACGCAAAACTCTTGACACCAGTTGAACGTCATGAGCATTATGGCTGGCACCTTGTGCTTCAGCTTTCCCATCGACTTGAGGTTGACATGGGCCAGCAATAGTAAGACGTTGAGGGTCTTCACGAAAACAATGAAGAGCTGGCCCGCTAGATGTGGCAGGAATAGTGCGGGATTTTCCTGTAAGAATACAATCATTGCTAGGTTCTCGTACCTTTTTGCCCTTGGCGGTATTGTAACGCAAAATTATGGCTGCAGAAAGCGAAAATAAACTTAAATAATATTTTTGCGTATGGACACCTATAATTTCTCTCTCACGTCTCTTTTATTGAACTTTTGAATCTAAATTATCAAATGCATCACACACTAGATTGTGCCTTAAACCATTCCAACCTAATATTTCTGAATTCATCAATCGTTACAGGTCGAGGCCTGATGTTCGCATTTCTTTATATCAATCCCATTTATCGGACCGACTTATACTTTATCTTTTCTAAATATGTAATTAAGTCAGGGACAACATTGATATATGTTTTACTAATCAGTCAGAATTGATATCAAATGTTGTTTTCTAGCAGCACTGAAGGTACCTACTTCGGCCACAGTTCCAGCTCCAGCTATCCATTTCCATTTTTTCTCTCGCTCTCATCAAATGGTGATTCGTTGCGATATAACGAGGTGACATAACCGAAAATGGGTAGCTGGAACTGTGGCAGTTAGTACAGTGATCTTACAGTCAAGCATCCCACCACCAGACAGGCATATTGGAATAATCCCATTGAAGTTGCGATGATTTTCAGGTCATGTATGAGCATAAAGTTACCATCTTGCTCGTCTGTAGTAAGTGGAGTTTCGCCTAAGTGCTTCCTTAAATGGTTTGCATTAATAAACTGTGAAAAAGAAGTAACAATAAGAATCGATAATAAGTACATAAAAATCTTTCATTTTTTGGGACCATTATTATTTTTTTCACACGAAAAGAGGCATAAATTCAAATGAGCTTTATTAAAGACTAGCTTTTGCCCGCGGCTTCACCGCGTGAAATCTGGTTTGTCACAGATCGTCATAAATTATAGCCTATATGTTAAAGTGGGTTATAAGCAATAATACTGTAAAATTTCATCGGAATCCGTTCAGTAGTTTTTGCGTGAAAGAGTAATAAACATCCAAACATCCAAACTTTCGCATTTATAATATTAGTAGGAAGTAGGATTTAGTTAAACATTCTGTAAGAACAAAAATATTCCTTAAGACTCCCTAAAGCTAAAAAAAACTACAATATCAATCAGAAATCAAACTAAATAAATAATAGGTGATAAAGTATGAAACTTACGAAGCCAAGTGTTCCATAAAAATAAGTATAAAATACGCTAATACCGAACGTGGGGTGCTGACAAAACATTCTTGTGTTACCTAGATAAGGCTTCAGGAACGGTGATATGATTTTACTGAAGGGTAGTTTCATATCGTATTTTTTAATCGATTTACATTGCTAAGCATCATCATTTGAAATCAGTTCTTTGTTGTTTGTAATTTAATTATGCTCATTGTAGAAATCAACACTTGCAAAACGTCGATTTGAAATTGTTTTTTTTTTAAAATAAGTTCCAAGTTTACGGCTTCGGACCTTATCACATAAATCCCTTGACCACAGATCATATTTATTATGATATTTTTGAAGAAATGTTTACCTCGATCGAGCAAGACTCTCATAAACAGGGTGCGTTTTTTTATAGTTGAACAAACAATAAATACAACTACTTTTCCTATAATATTAAATTCACAAAAACAAATCCATACTCAATGACCGATTGCTGATGATAATTTGTATGGGAAGGTATTTATTTAAATATTTGAACTTCGGTCCCTTGGGAAAATATCAACCCTAAGACTCAATCCTATTTATAAAAATAACACACTGTAAGTATATTGATAGTATTTTATTATCTTGAAGAGATCAGTGAAAGATAACCGTCCAGTCGTGGATGACGTTTACATCATGGGGACAACGGGAAATAATTTTGAGTATTTTATTCAATTCCTTTTGTCCCCATCTTAGGGACAACAGGAATACATGTACAGTTACTAGGTACTCTATAATACCTATTCATTTGGTACGAGACTTGAGTGAAAAATCATTAGGCAAGCTTAAATACTGAGAGAACTAGGAGAAATGATCCAAAATGATGAGCAATTTAGGAAAAAGCAATTAGTGTGTCATCAAACAAACAAAAAGCCACTTCTTTGCTTTAATAAACTTTATTAACAATACGAACAAATTACATTACAATTTTAGATAAATAAAAATTAAGCTACAACACACTAAACAGTCATACAATAAAAAACAAGAGTAATTGAATCCTATGAAATAAACAAAACAAAAAATATTAGGCTCTAAATAAATTAAAACTAAAATACATAAATGTTGCTACAATAGACATCGTCTTTAAATATTGAAGAGCATTGAGATATAAGCGCATCTTGTATTGCAAATCTTGGAGGCATTCGTTGACATCCAGCTGAAAGTATATGACCTAAGAACGGATGCTGTTTTGACATAGCCGCGACAAAGGATCCTTCCATCGTGACCGACAGAAAATATGACGCTTTTGGTACAGAATCGACGACATCATGATTAGTGGCATGTGGTAGAGGTAGATTGTTCTGCATTGATTCAGGGAAAAGATATGGTGGCCCCATATTGTCAGAAAATATAGAAAAATCATACAGCAGAACAACTTGCGGACCATCGGATCCATTTCTGATCGGCATATTCACAAAATTTAAAGATGACGTATTCTTTTCTGGCTGTCCGTTTTCTTTTTGTGCAGTATCAAGTTCAAACGACTGTGTTTTATCAACAGAGTTATTCCTCACAGATACGGTATCAGCATTTTTATAGATAGAATCAATTATAGTTATTTCCGAAGTATTGACAAGTTGCATTTTTGGAGTAACAGTCGTAATTATATTGTCGCCTGAAATGTTTTGCGTCTTAAATATAACTTCACGTTTGTTTCTATGTTTTCTTATTACTGGTTCAGAAATTATTTCTTGATTGAATGATAAGGATCTATTTAAAAACGCTCTAGTTTCGTTGAGAATTTGATGCACTATACCATAAAACAATCCGAAAAACTCGTTTTGTTCGTCTCGATCGATATTATTGAGCGTTTTTGCGTATTCTTCAGGTTTGCTTCCCAAATCGTACTGTTTTAATATGGCAGTGATTCTTCGATCAGGCATTTGTCGCCTTTTGTACTGATTACTAAAACAACTAAGATCGATTCCTATTCCTCCATTCTTCCAAACGGAGAAAACTCTCGCGTAGAATGTTAGATAGCCAAGTGGAATCGTTCGCCATTTGTATTTTAGAGGTGTCATTGCCATGAATTTACTCAAAGGCATAATAGTGACGTTCACGTTTTCATTTTTTAAATGAAAATCTCTCAGTTCTTGTTGGTTTATTCCGTCACATATCCCACTTTCTCTGGTTGAATGGTGAGGTAGCAATTTGTTCATTAGCCGTGAATGTCGTTGTCCTCTATAGCCGTATTGTACCGAATCGTCTATTAAGAAGAATACGCTGAAGTGTAAGAAAGCATATTGTGTAGCCATGTCAGATAGGTATTCAGAAAATTGGCTGAATTGGACATGTTCTCCTCTTTGCACAATTTGATGGTAGTAGACTTCGCTGTCAGATTTAGATGCGTTGCAGTTGAGAACAAAAATTGGTTGTCTTCGGATCACACCCAACGTGCCCAAGCCGTAGATGATGAGAACAAATATGCCCAGGAGCATTCCCGTCATCCAACACGCGGAAAAAAGTTCTGAAAAGAAAGTTAACAACGCTTTATTTTACAGCTGAAGTATTAGAACTATTAAATAATTTCTCTACGTCTCTCTTAAGTTCGATGACATTACAATCATTTTCATTTATGTAACTTGTACAATAGTTGCACTTACAAAAATTAAACTTTTTGGTACATTTACTAACCTGGCCATCGTTCATACCACGACCTCTTAGGGGCGCATGTAACGTTCCAGCCAGGGGCGGCAGTGGGCTGGGCGGGCGGCCGCCCACTGTCCCCGCCGCCAGTCTCCACTTTCAAAAGGGGGTATTCTTCGTCGTTTTTTTGTGGTGGAGAATCCACCATATTTTTTTCCTGTAAAACAAATCAAGTAAATTATTTTTGATCCCTAAAGCTAAGCGTCCACTTGTCGGTATCGTACGCAACGGACGCATCGTACAAAACACATCGTATCGGATGTGCGATGCGTACGATGCGGATAGGTGGACGCACTTATATGAGTTTCTATATAAATAATACTACGATCCATTGCGTGCGATACGTCCGATGCGTACGATACCGACATGTGGACGCTAGCCTTTATAGTGAAGTTTAAGTTGTTACTGAGAAGTAAGCTCTTTTCGTAGACAGGCGAAGAGTGCAAAAGAACTCTTCCTTTCTCTATCGGCTAGGTATCTTCTAGATGTCGTCTAGTGGGCTAAGGGCATCCTACACTACATTGCCGCTGTCGTCTCTTCGACTTGCTAGGAAGCTATTCAGGAACTCTACCTTTTCTACCTCTCGGACATGACCGATTTTTAAACAATACATGAACAATAAGTTTCTTTTACTTACTTGTTATTTCTTATTAGACTGTCCGGATGATAAACCAATGCTCAAATTAAAATAATCCAGACAAACAACACGAAAAATTATTTTAAATTTTAAGAAATCCTCTGAAATTTTGCGTTTCTAATTTTAAACTGAATGTCAACGGACATTTTTCAGTTTATGACATTTATGAAGTAGGTATTTTATTTCTTGAAAAAAAAAAGTTTTTATCAATTTTTTTGGTAGTTTGAGAACAAATAATATTTAGAAATAATGATAGACGAGAGATGGCACGGTTAAACTCCGTTGGTACCACATACACACGTACCTATTTAAGTTGTAAAGGGTGCATTTTTGATGCATAATGTACAAATTCAATGTTTTAAAGGGCATCAGTGTTAGAAGAACCTAACAAGTTTCTAGCTTACATCCACGTCTGGGTATAACTTTGCGACCTTAGTTTGCGACGTGGTTCTTAAAGTTTGTAAAACACAATTAACTGTTCTTAGTCATGGTCTCAGATTACATACCACAAGTTGGTGAGTCATTGATATGATAAAGGGTTACATTAGGTAAGTACTAGCTTTCCGCCCGCGGCTTCGCCCGTGTCGAATTTTTCGGTTCGGCAATAAGTAATGTGGCGTTCACACACACAAATAAACACAAACTTTACCTCTTTATAATCGTTTCAGCCAAATGACGTCCACTGCTGGACAAAGGCCTCCCCCAAGGTTTTCCACAATGAACGGTCCTGCGCTGCCCGCATCCAGGCTCTTCCCGCGACCTTTACCTCTTTATAATATTAGTATAGATTTAAAATTTAGATAGCACGTACCTGAACCATATTTACATTGATCAATAGCCATGCTACCTACTGTTGTACATCCTACCACTTTGATAAAGAGCTATGTAATCTAATCTAATAGTTAGTGCAGTGCCGCACTTCCACCTAAAACTGCGCCCTTTGTTCTCACGAGTATTCTTCTCTTTATACTTTACCTACATAACTAACGTTATTAAGTCATATTGTCTAGGCATTATGAACAACACTATACGCTTAGCCCTAGGAATAATGGGTTCCGTTCCACCCGAAAAGTTTTAATAGTTACCTACTTACTATAGGTTACTAGGTATACTCGTACTTATCGACCTATGAGGGGTGGATGAATAACCAAATTGTATAATGGTGTAACAGCATGTTATAATTAGACCTATCATTATTGATTTGGTGGACAGTTTTTAAAACTTGCCTTGACATGTAATTATTGCTTAGTTTTTAATATTCAGTAATTACGCCGAGAAGCACGCCAGTACGTGAGACAAATCAGTTGTTGAATCAACAAAATTAAGCCGTAAAGGAAAAACATTTTCACGTAGCAGATATTCAGTAACGTTTCAAACGCGTTCTTGTACGTATTAATAAAACATGTACTGTTTTTCAAATAAGTTTTTGGGATAAATGGTAATAAAGTGAGGACATGGTGTTCACAGTGCATGGAAATTGATATGGTAAGCCTACATATTTTGCCAATATGGAAATCATTGGAGGAGGCCTATTTTGCCTAAGGTCAGCAGTGGACGTCCTGTGGCTGAAATGATGATGAAATATTTCAAATTCATAAACAATTTTTCACATAACAAAAACTCATTCATAACTAATCTTTCTAAGCTTTTGTTTCAAGTTTGGCATACAAATTTTTGTGACATTTGCGCTCTTTTATGACATTTTAGATTTACTAATTTTTATCCTTTGACTAAACTAGTAAAGGATATATTGATAAGGTGTTTTAATTCTGTCAGGAAACTAATGGATAGTGATGAGTGAGTCGTATAAAGAACAACATCCGTTGTTGTACGAAGACCTGTCTGATGAGGAGCAGTTCAGTCCTCGATACCAGAGACAATTCAGACCTATGGTGTTCAGAGGAAGAAGCAGGAGCAAAGTGAAGGGAGCAGCAGCAGTCATTCGACTTTGGCCAGGTACAACATGTTTTTAATTAGTTAACTTTAATATGCATACAACTTAACTCTTGACTTAAGGCTGGGTTGCACCATCTTACTTTGCAAACGAATGTCAAAAGTCTTTGAAACTCCATACAACAATCTTCTCTCTTCATACAAATTAGAATCGGGCCCAACTATCGGCCAACTAAAAGACCGTGGTCTGCGCCTAGGCTTATGGCCTAATAGTCAGTTGGACATAAATTTTCTGTTCAAAATGTAAATAGTGTATTCACTTCCTAGAGTTAGTTCTTTAATATAAAATATATATAGTTAGGTACTAATGTTTTAATAAGAGTGTTTTTTCATGATTGAATTGATCGGATCAAACACACAACGAAACACCTTCGAAAAAATTAAGGCACATTTTAAAAGTAGGAATAGATCTAATGTAGTTAAATAATTTGTTTACTTACATTTTTCAGAACACTGGTCATCTTCAGTAGCATACTGGTGGATGGGAATCGGCATGATCGCGCTAATAACCTTCGTGGTGTACAACATTGTGGCCTCTGCGGCTGTCCTACCGCCTGCCACCTACAAGGAAATGCGCATGCGAGCGCTTAACGACGCCGTCACCCCAGCACTGGATAATTCCCTAACATCCTTCAATGTTTACATGCATGTATTTATCGAAAATAACCAAGAAATAGATCTGAACAGTTATTTACCATACATCGACATTATAGCCAATAAATATTTAGATTTTAAATATCATCTAATTCTAGTACACAACGACACAACATCAAATACGAATATTCTAAGCGCCGAAGAAAATAATGAAAAAGCATTCGATTCGCTTTGGGCCGGGAACAGCGTACACCAATCCCCCAAAAATAATGTCAATGTTGAACACGTTGCTCTAAGCAAACTTATGGAAAAGTCTCCCCTTCGACAGGATTGGAAACATATACCGAAGCAATTTATAGAATTTTTGACTAGAGCTACATCAATTTGGGACAAAGGCGGCATAGCTTTCAATCCCACAATCCTAACGCCCCGATCACCGCATTCAATTTATATAGAAAAACTTCAAAATATCCTGAAAAACTTTCACCGTGTTGCTAAAAAGACTTTAAATGACCGAAAAGCTACCATAAACCACCATCCTATTATGAAGAAGAAAGTAAATAACATTCGAGATATAATAGATGCCATGGAACATGATGACGATGATCTTCCTCTACACAGCTCCATAGATTCAGATGTCAAGAAAAGTGCAAGCGTTGGCCCTAAGCAGTCACGTGATTCTATGTTTTCCAATGGGTCTAACACTAGTAATCTTCAGAAAACTCATCCAAAATTAGCTATTATTGACTTCAAAAATAAAACTTCCATGGATAATAAAAAAATGCATGATTCACAAGAGACATTAATGATGGCTGAATCAAAAAGCAATTTTTCCATTCAACCAGCAGAAAGTATTAATGGCACGTTTGGAATTCTACCAATGTTTTTGGAATTTTTGTTCAGAAATAAAGCTGATTTGAGTACACCAACGAGTGTAAGCCGCGATGATTCAATAACTGTTACTAGGAAACGTAAACATGTATTACCTGATCATATGAATAGAAGTTTCGATCAAGAGCCTTCTGATAATCTCAAGAAAGAGACCAAGAATTTAGAAGTGGTATTTAATTCTGCTAAACATACCCATGCTGTTAATAATGAAAGTTTTATTGAAACGTCCAAAGCAAATAACGTTAATCAGCTTACTATTGATTTGAAAGGAAATATTGTATCGTCTGAGGTCTCATGTCATGCTTTCTTAGGAACCATGTTTAGTAATGCTGTTCATTCAAACCCTCAAGAATCTATTACAGATTTTATTATTGCTGAATTATCCATCTTTTGCAGAGGAGTATTATCATCATGCAATGGAATTGACGTGATTTTGCCATAGACTCACCGTTATTGATATACCTACTTTTATTGTTGTACTGTTAAACTATTATGTAAGTTTTTTAATAAAGTAGATTTATCCAATATCATTTCTTTGCAATTGAATAATCATATCCGGATAAAGAAGGAAATAATAAAAATCAATTAATTTAGGCATTCGTATAATTTTAAATACTAAAATTCAGTCGTGCTCAAAATATTGTTCAGTTAGTACAATATTTTGTTCACAAGTTTGAGATTTTTTTATCTTAACATTATGGCAGCTTAATCATTGTTACTCATCTTAAACAACACATTTTTAATAGACTAGACTAGTAAATCATCTAATAGGTAATATTGGTCTGTTTAATTATTTATCATTCCATAATTATTAATTATACCAAAATATTGTGGTGTGTTTAAGATCTAATCTCATGCCATTATGACAATCCTACATTATCTAACTTACTTAGAACTTATTATTAATATGTACAACATGAGTTCTTAAAAGTCGATACTACAAGTACTTGCAAACATTGATGCTTACTAGTATGTGTCAGTAAATATACATCCCAATATCACTTGGCTATATTCTTTTTCTCTACAGGGATTTCCCATCGTTCCCGCCAACTTTTATCCGATTGCTTGCAGCCCTTCATATGGCTTCTCTTTTCGCAACGTTTGCTTATGGACCAATAGGTGTATCCTTCAGGGCATCGGTACACGTAGCCTCTAATTTTGCCCGCTTTCGTTGATTCGCACTTAAGGAATATTCCAGAGCATTCATTTTCTTCGTATGGATAATATCCCACACCAGAACAAGTGTGCTTGCTGCGGCTGGCCTCGATCTAAACAAACAATTTTAACAATTAAAACATTTTAATTTATAGTCCAGGCTCAAATTCAATCAACAGTTAGCTAAACAATGAAAACTGGAACTGGAACTACGAAAAAATACTCTTCAATTTTTTAAATTAACTACAGTGTTATGTAACTAAGTAAAATTTTATTTTAAATGTACGAGTATTTGCATAACACTTACCGGTTCTTTGTAATTTAAGTTCAATCGTTTGACTCTGTGCCGCTGCGCTGTTTGACCATTACATTTCTTATCTGCCTTATCTTCTTCTACACATTGTGATTTGCTTTCATCATAAATTGTGTTATTTGGGCATTTGAAACTAGCTATTTTCACGTCATGACTATCATTGTCTTCTGTGCATTGATAAAACATGTTACAGTATTTAGGGTGCCTTCTGAATGAGGTTGGGCAAACATACAAATACTGGTCATCCTCAGTTTCGGGACAGTCTTTTTCAGCCGATGTTTCTTGTGATGTCGTGCCTTGACTACTTTCTGTGGTCGTACTTTCAGTAGTGGTGGTTTCTTGTCCAGTTGTTGTTTGCTGCTGGGTAGTACTTTGCTCGCTAGATTTTTCTGTAGTAGTTGACTGCTGTTCTGTTGTCATTGATTCTGTTGTAGTTTCATCTGTGCTTGAAGATTCTTGAGTCGTAGTTTCACTTGTTGTGTTTTGCTGTGTAGTAGTTGTAACATCAGTTGTCTGCTGTGTCGTAGTTGTTACATCAGTAGATTGCTGGGTAGTAGTTGTTCCATCAGTAGATTGCTGGGTAGTAGTTGTTCCATCAGTAGATTGCTGGGTAGTAGTTGTTCCATCAGTAGATTGCTGGGTAGTAGTTGTTCCATCAGTAGATGATTGTTGGGTAGTAGTCGTCGTTGTCGGTTCTTGTGTTGTTGTTGTAGTAGTTTTTTCAGTGGTAACTGATTCACTTGTGCTTGGTTCTTGAGTTGTGGTGTGTTCAGTCGTCGTCTGTTGAGTAGTTTGCTCACTTGAAGATATTTGTTGAGTTGTACTTTCTTCGGTAGATGATTGAGTTGTAGTCGATTCTGTTGTAGAACTCTGTTCAGTTGTTGTGGATTTCTGTGTTGTAGTTGAAGTTGTTTCTTGTGAAGCGTTTGCACTTTGACTTCCACTACAGTCACGTGGTGGATACACTGAGTCTTCGTGGTTGCATGTTTCTAGTTGTGGATCCCAAATTGTACCTTCTCCACAGTCAAAATGATAAATTGAAAATCGCTTTCCATCACCATCCCAATCAACGCATCTATAAAACTTTTTGCAATCATTTGGATCTGCAAAGAATCCTGCTTTCTCGCACTTTACACTTTGACTTTCAGGTTTTTTAGACGAAGATTCTTGAGAACAATTAGATGATCCTTGATTACTACTTTCAGTTGTTCCTTCAGAACTTTGGGACGCAGTTGATGAAGATGAAGCTGAGGATGACGATGAACCCTCTGTAGACGATGACATTTCTGAAGATGACTGATTATCTTCATCACTTTTACACGATGGATTAGCCACGTCTTGTGGGTGGTTACATGTTGTAAGATCTTGGTCCCATATGGTTCCTTCCCCACATGTAAAGTCATATTTTGTTAACCCGCCATTACCGTTATCAACACATCTATAGAACTTAGTACAGTCTTGGGAGTTCCCAAAGAAGCCTTCTTGTTCACATTTATCTTTACTTGGAGGTTTCGAACTAGTGGGTTCATTACCTGTACTTGTACTTCCTGTAGTTTGTGAAGATCCTTCATCATGGCTTGCTTCAGATGAACTTTCTTGGTTGGTTTTCTGACAACTATCAACTTCACTTTTATGATTACAAGTCTGAATATTTGAATCCCACGCAGTACCTTCGCCACAAGTAAAATCATATTTTGTGTAACCACCTTGACCATTATCGACACATCTATAAAATCGAGTACAATCGTTTTTGTTTCCGAAAAAGCCTTCAGATGTACATTTTTCATCTGTATTTGACGGTTTACTAGAACTTTCGCTTGGATACTCATCGTCTTCCTTATCTAAAGGTTGAGAATCTGAAGTTGCTTGTCCTGTTGGGGAAGATTCTGTAGGTACGGGCTTTTCTTCTATAGTCTGAGGATTTGAAGAGCTATCTTTATTGGTACAACTTGATATATCATTATCGTAATCACAAGCTTGTATTTCCTGGACCCAGACGGTACCTTCCCCACATGTGAAATCATATTTGGTGAAACCGCCCTTTCCATTATCTACACATCTGTAAAACTTCTTGCAATCATTTGTATTAGCAAAGAATCCCTCCATTGCACATTTATCGCTACCTGAACTAATACTAGTCGTTTCAGGTTTGGGAGTTGTTTGATTTTCTTGTGTTGATGATGAACTGCCTGAGCCAGTATCTGTAGCTGAAGTTGTAGTTGCTAGATTCATGTTACTACTCGTACATTTGCTATTACTGCTTTCATGATTACATGCTAAAATTTCTTGGTCCCAGATAGTGCCATCACCACAAGTAAACTCGTATTTTGTAAAGTCACCTTTGCCGTCATCCACACATCTATAAAACTTTTTGCAATCATTTGGATCACCGTAAAATCCTTCATTTTCGCATTTATTGCTAGGTGATTGCGGTTTTTGTGAAGTATTTTCACTATGTGTTGTTGAGGATTCCAGCGCTTTTGTTGTAGACTCTGGTGACATAGTGTCCTGTTCATAATTTGGCTTCGTAGTCGTAGGTCCGGGAGCTGGAGAACTGCATTTACTATCAGAAGTCTCATGGTCACAAGTTTGTACATCCTGGTTCCATACTGTACCTTCGCCACATGTAAATTCATACTTAATAAAACCACCTTGTCCGTTATCAACACACCTATAGAATTTTTTACAGTTATTATTATCGCCGTAAAATCCTTCTTGAGTACATTCATATCCTGATGGTTCAGAATAGATAGTCGAAGTGGATGTTTTTTGAGTAGTTGGCTTATTGTAACTTTGATCTTCTTTTTCTGTTTCAGAACTTGAAGAGTGTTGGGTCGTAAGTTCCACATTACCGGATTGATTATTATTCCCTTCATCGGCACAGTGTCTACTTACAGCCCAAGCATGGTTACAAGCTTCTATGCTTTGATCCCAAACAGTTCCTTCACCACAAGCAAATTCGTAGCGAGTATATTTTCCATTACCATCTTCGACACACCTATAGAACTTTTTACAATCTTGAGTATCACCCATGAAACCACTGTTTTGGCAATTATTGTCTACATTTAATGAGGAGGTTGTTGATAAAGAAGTTACCGTCGAAGTTGTAGTTTGGCTTGGATACTCATCACTTTGTACAGGATAGTTATTAGAATTTCCTTCGTTATTAATTGGCGTCGTTGAGCTACTTGTAGAAGAAGTAGACGAACTTGTACTTCCACATTTCTCGACTGCCCATGCATGATTACATGCATCAATTTTAGAGTCCCAAACTGTGCCTTCACCACAAGAGAATTCGTAACGCGTAAATGTACTATCGCCATTATCAACACACCTGTAAAACTTTTTACAATCATTTGGGTCTCCCATGAATCCACTAGTTGAACATTTATTTGTGCCTGGGCTCTGATTTTCAGGATGATATGTTGTACTAGTACTAGGTTGTGGCTCTTGACTTTGTTGTCCATATCCAACATCGTTATTATCATCTGGTTCATTGGATTGGGTTGAAGTTGAAGAAGTAGGACGTGTCTCTTTTTGGGTAGTTGATTCTACTTTATTTACGTCTTCCACTGAGTTACCCCCACATTTTTCAACCGCCCAAGCATGGTTACATGATTGGATTTTAGGATCCCAAACTGTGCCTTCACCACATGAGAACTCGTATCTGGTATACCCACCGTTTCCATTTTCGACACATCTGTAAAACTTTTTGCAGTCTTTGTTGTCTCCCATAAAACCACTTGACGTACAAATATTTCCAATACTAGACTCAGAAGATAATGATTGAAGTGTTGTGGTAGTTGATTTTATTGTAGTTGGTTTAATTGTAGAAGATGGCTGATCATGTGATGGCTGTAGCCCATATCCCGTGTCATAATCATCATTTTGTGGCGATGTTTGGGTACTTGTTGTAGATACTATAGTTGTAGTTGTAGACTTATCCGTGGGATGTTCGAATTCAGCATTTCCACCACAATTTTTAACAGCCCATGCATGATTACATGCTTCAATGGTTTGGTCCCAAACTGTACCTTCTCCGCAAGAAAATTCGTATCGAGTGTATCCTCCATTTCCATTGTCCACGCATCTATAAAACTTTTTGCAATCTTTATTATCACCCATAAATCCACTTGATTTACATTTATTATCGCTAGGACTTTGTGGTTCTTTATATTCAGTAGTAACTTGTTCTGCAGGCTTAGCTGTTGCAGGCGATACAGGTTGGTTTCCGTAACCAATGTCATTATTATCATCATCTTCAGACTCTGTAGTCGAATAGTAATTTTGAGTGCTTGTTGAAGTAGTAGAAGATGTTGTTGTAGACGAAGTTGATGGAATTTCAGAAACTTTAGTCGTACTTTGTGGTACTTTTGTTGTACTTTTTGTTGTAGATCCAGATGGTGCTTTTCCACCACATTCTTTAACAGCCCACGCATGATTACAAGCTTCAAGATTTGGATCCCATACAGTCCCTTCTCCACAAGAAAACTCATATCGAGTAAATCCACCTTTTCCATTGTCAACACAACGGTAAAATTTCTTACAGTCTTTTGAGTCTCCCATGAAACCACTCTCAGTGCACCCATTATTGGAACTTGTAGTTGAGACCATTTGATGGTCACTGTATTGAGTAGTTTTTGTAGTACTTGAAGTTTGACTAATTTGCATCTGGGCCTGACTAGCTTCCTTTGAATGATCTATTTGCAACTGTGTTTGTACCGCTTCGTCGCCATAATTAATCTGAGTCTGTGATTGACTTACTGCGTTTCCGTGACTAATTTGTGTTTGATTTTGAACAATACTAGGCTTATCATTTTTGATGTTTGTATCATTTCCATAGTTAATTTGGGTTTGATTTTGTACAACAGACCCATTACTTATTTGAGTTTGTGTTTGAGTTACCTTTGAACCGTAATTTATCTGTAACTGCGATTGAGATGGTAAACTGGTGGTTTTGCTAGTGGTGGTGAGTTCAGACCGAGTTACTTTCATTACAGTTTTTTTGGACTCACTTTTATCATCTATAAAACTTTCCCTGCCACATCTTCTTCTTGTGACAGCCCAAGCATGGTTACAAGCTTTCTTATCTTCATCCCAAATCGTGGGATCGTTACACAAGAACTCATATCTAATGAAACCACCTCGTTGGTTACTTATACATCTGTAAAATTTGCGACAGTTCTCGCTATCGCCCATAAAGCCATTAGCTGTACAAAGGTCCCCAGATTGTAAATTTGACGCTGGATACTGAAAATCTATTTTGGCTGTAGTTGAATAAAGTTTCTGGGAAAACGGCGTTGTAAAATAACTAGATGGGACTTCTCGTTTTGTCGATGGTGCTTTAGAAGATTCTGTTTGCTGTTGTTTATTTACAAATGGGGCCAATGTAGAAACAGCGGCATTTGAATACAGATGAGTCGTTAATGCCCACGGGTATTTCGATGCAAAACTCGATGTCTCAGGCCGTGTTGTTTTTTGTGTAGAAAAATGATGTATGGCTACAACTTTTTCAGTACTTTCCGGATGTCTAGTACTTATAGGCGATGGAACTTCTCGATTTATCTCATTATCGAAAGCAAATTCAACGCTTGGGATATGTAAACTGCCACCGCATTCGGTCCGCTTTGTGCTTTGTGGATGATTACATATTTCAGTATCTGGATCGTATATGGTTCCTGGGCCACATTGGAACTGAAAAAATACAAAATGAACAGTTTGAGTCTTGCAGGCGTTGTGCTAATTTCAAATTATTAACTGAGAATATAAAAGGAAAATTCACCTTAAACGACACATATCTCCCGTTTCCATTTTTCATGCAGCGATGGAAGATGGTGCAGTCTGCAGGGTCTGCTTGGAAGCCTTCATGTTCACACACGATCGGTTTCGGCCTGGTACCTGAGTATAACCTCACAACTCGCTTGCTTGCCCTTGCTTCGCGCGCATCTTCGGGTAGCGTGCCTGTAAATGAAACTTTTAATAACAGCTGTAAAGGACGTACCTTTTGCTTCTTAATTGGTAGGTTATTTATAAAAATATACTACAGTTAATACATTTTGGTCGGAAAATTTCAGTGCCCTGAGCACGAAAAAATATAATTTTCGTTATTATATTGTTATCGTTTATTTGAAATATTTTGTATGGAAAATTAGACAGCACCGCTATTACAAGTTAATTCGTGCTCAGGGCACAGCTATAACAATTACGATACTGCATTAGGAGCGATGCATAAAGTGTTTAGCTTCATAATGTAAAGTCATTTTAAACTTAGTAAAGTTATAGGCAGTATTTCTATAAGAATTATGTAGAAATACTTACCATAATAATATGTAGCTTAAAATTAAATAATATAGGTTGTAGGTACACACGAATCACATCATCGGAACACTTGTTGTTGAACTTGATTGCGATATGTTTTATTAATGATTAACAAACCAACCATTTCTTAAGTCTACTCCTTTTACGGGTAGAACAAGTAGTAGCGGCAGAAGGAACCCCGCAAGTGTCATCCCCATATTTGCCAATCCCGTCCGGTTCTGTGGTTATGATGAAGCCATTTTGCGTTATCTTCGGACCTGGAACAACATCAATCATGTCATCGTCTTTGTAAGGAAAATTATAAAAGCATTAAAATACTCTTTTAACCATATTATTATATTAGGCAGATACGAGTCTTAACATATCGCTGTAATTTATCCGACTAGTTAATAAAATAGTTTGCTTTGACTGACTGTAAGATGCATAAAATGTTTAGAAAGTTCAAATTCTACAAACACATTTAGGCTGAGTTGCACCATCATACGAGTACTTTAACTAATAAACGTCAAAAATGTGTCAAACTCCATACAAGAAACACTATTGTTATAATTAAGTAGGTGCAACTCAGCCTTAGAATGTGCAGAAAGTTGGAATTTCACAAAACGCTTAATTTTATAAAATATTTTTTAAGTAAGAAATTAGGGTAATAAATTGGTTTTATTGAAAAAAAAATTCAATAAAAGTGCGTTATTTTATAAAATGTTGTGTAATAAAATTTAATTATCTCATTAGTTATTGAGCTAAAGACTTTCTTTTGATGGTCTTTATCGTGTGGAACAATAAATAAATAATCATTGTGGTATCTGTAAATGTGCTGCCTTGCGATATCACATTGTGACGTAACATCATAAGGAAATGCAAGCAAAGGGCAGTCAATTGAGGTCATTATCGCTTGCACTTGTGAATCGAATGCACTCCACTGGCACGATCTTGGCAGAGATGCCCAAAGCTGTACAATGAACGTGATACGATTTTATCGTTCTATATCAGCGATAGTGGAGATCCGTATCTATGCCCCCATTTAATTTTACCTCCGAGTTTGCGTAGTTTACTTTACACGCTAGGTCTTACTCTCATGTGGAAGAAGGTTTATAGTAAAAATTTTCAGTAAGCAATTAATTTATTTCAGCAAATAGGTTTTTTAAACGCGCTTAAACACACGTCCTATTATAATTTTAAAAGCTTGAATGAAAATTGTACCTTATTCCAGACTATATTGAACCGCCTATGGCTACGGTATTACATGCGAATACCGTTGATTAGATTTTTATGAGAATTAGTATAGGTATATTTGTATATTTTATCCACACGTTTATTATGAACCTACCTGAAAGAGACTGATCGGGTTGTCAAGATATAAATTTCAAGTCCTACTTCGAACAGGGACTTTTGGTTACCTAGCCATTACAACTAAAAAGCAAAACAGTGCAGCAGTAAGTCCGTACTACAAGGCAGAATTTGGCTCATAAAGGAAATGCACTTGTAGGTCAAGAACATTGCGTGGCCCAATGCTAACGGCCTCGATTGACCCATGCATTGCTTACGTAAGCGATATACTAACATACTTTCTGCTGTGAATATCGTCAATCATAAACAAATGTTTTAGAGTTTCGCACCCAAAGGATAAAAAACGGCACCCTATTACTACGACTCCACTGTCTTACTAGACTGGTCTCATGAACCGTGATAGCTAAACAATGAAAATTTTCTCACATTATGTTTTTTTTTTTGCCGCTATAACAAGAAATAACAGAATAAAATAAATATTGCAAGGGGACTCCCACACAAAAAGAAAAGCGTCGCGTCGTACGGAACCATTCGTGCGCGAGTCCGACTCGCACTTGTTTACAATAAAAGGTACGGACGGTGAATGTTTATGTACTTACCTAACCAACTAATTAATTAAATAATTAAGGGCTACTTTTTGTAGCGAAAGTAAAACTTGAAGGGAGTGAAAGTTTGAGGAATCAATCATTTCTAATCTTAGCGATATGAAACATATACGTTAAGGGTTTTTGAACAAAATATAATATACGAGTGAGATCTGACTGTGTGATAGGCCTAAATTCTTGCAGGCGAATCCGTAAGCGAAAGCTAGTATACTAACTGTTCATCTATGACTCAATAATTTTCATTAAAACATCTTCACTATCTTCTTTAATAAGTTATCCTAAGTCTCTTCTATTCATTTGTTTCGTTATTTCTGTTTGATACCAAGCACATTTTTTGTTTTGCAATAGTTCTTTACAATTAACATGTTTTTCTTATCATTTCAATCGATGGAGCCTGTATCCCACAGGCGATGTGAGGTTACCAACCCTCTCAAGGACACCCACTTTATTTTTACTGTGCCAATCATAAATTATAGGGGCTATAAAATATAAATAGCAATTTAATTGAACAACTCCTCAATTACAATCAACATCCATTATTTTTCACTCTGAGGTGTGTTGGGTGATTTATAAGAAAGGTATTTGCTGCGTAAACAGAGTTGGGAACACGTTTTTTAATAGGACTTTTGACACGTTAATATTAAACAAACGCACACAAAATTTCCGATTTTTTTTATCTAAATTAAACAAAAATCATTTTTGCATGGAGACCTTAGTTATTACTGTTTTCTCCAACCCATCTTCCTATCGTCTATTCCATCCATTCTCCCTAACTTTGGTGAATATGAGAAGATCGTTCTTCTGCAGTAGAGACTAATTTGACCTCATGATAATGATGACATAGTGTCCCATATTTTTTATGCTTTTGGATTTAAATAGTATTTTAGAAGTTGGTAAAAGTTATTATATTTCTAGGACAAAGAATATTTTTCCTAAATATTCCAGCACTGGCTCATTTATTGTCCCGAAGCAGTGGTGTAGGGTTAAGGTGGTGAAACGTGTAAAAGTGCTTTTGCAAAAATAAATGAGTTTTCGGAGTTTTTAAATTTAGAGTGAATTTTATTGTATAACCTTTATAATTAAAGCTAGGTACAAAGAGAAGAAAAATACGGGCAAAGGTACAGTCATAAGATAGATATGGGTAAATACAGATTTTTATTTTGTTTTATTTTGTCATTAAATGCGAGTTGAATCCAGATTAATTCTTTTTCATTTGAGGTAAAGGTCATATCCAGCTCTCCAGGTAAGTAATTAGTCATTAGTGAAAAAAGATTAACTAAGTTTAAAATGGTTTTATACACTAAAAGGATACCCTGCATGAACATAGTTACGAGTAAGTACCTAAGTAAATGAACGAAATAAAGGAACTGCAACTTTTTAAAGACAATATGCAGGTTTAATTTGTGTTTGTTCAAAGAAGAAGAGTCATTTCATCAGTTTTTGTCTACTACTAACTTTAAAACCTAATTTTAAAAACTAATTTTAAAACCTAGCCTTACAAATTCGTATAAATCGGTGAATATGTTAACATAATGAGTTAAAACATAACAAATAACAATAACAAACACGTTCAGATTATCTTTATCTCAGAGCAAAAAACTATTACGAGAAATCACGCAATAAACTTGCATGTACATAACTATTTATGTCAATGCAAAAAACATGGTTGCTTATAAAAAGAGTGGTCTGTATTTTAAATTGGCACCCATAGTACTGGCGGGCCATTCTCAACGGATTCCTGGTGGTGCCGCGGGCGATTCTTTAAAGGTCACAAGTGAATAACCAGCCTTACACGAAGGAAACAACTGAAGAGCGATTCCAATTTAGTGTTGTGTTCCGTAGCTGCGCAGCACACGCAAGTGTTGCGTTATAGTAACAATGCGGCACCGCTGTAAATAAGTAAGTACTTAATTGAATAAAAAAAACTCCTGTAAAATATTAACTTACTTCATTTGTAAATTTAAAACTGTACATAAATATTAAATAAATGTCTATAATTTATGGAGACTACAAGTTTACTTGTAGACATTAGCAAGAAACTACCAGCACTTGCTATAAAAACACATTTTCTGAATACCGAACGCCGACAATTTCAGCCGGAAATGAAAAAAAAACTGTGCATTGAAAATAATGTTTTAATTTTATTTAAAAAGAACATTATACCCTCATGTCTGATGGTGTAACTTAATAATTTCTCTCTCGTTTTAAAAAAAATACAATGAAGGAGAGTCGTTAATATAGTTGAACAGTAGTTTTTAAAAGTGTCAATATACCATTCTAAACGTCACTTTAAGTAAAGGGGTTTACCTTTTTCCATTAAATTAATTCTAGATAGCTATTGGGACTGGTTGAGTAGGTACAATACAATGTTAATCATTTTAGAAGGGTTCAAGGTTTGAAGGTAGAATAAACCGAGGGACTCTACATTGTATTTACTGTTTTAATGTTGTAGCATAATGATGGAGTATTCAAGATAACTAACAAAAAAAATACGGGACTATTCCCACCTCTCGTTCCTACCACTGCTACTCCTGTGTAGCTAGGATCTACAGCTTGACCGCCAATAAAACCCTACCAGTGAAGGTCAAGTTTGTCCCGGTAAGATTAACTAATAGTGGTATTCTCTACAGTTTCAGAAATCAGATTACTAGAAAATTAATCGTTTAGGTACATCATAGTCTGTACCTAAGATAATAGACACCTCATCACTATCATATTAACAACTTGTTATTTTCCCATTGAACCCTAAAACAAACGCGTCGGTTCGTCGTATAATTACTTGGAGATGCAACAATTACACTGGACATCCCAGCTGGTTCTGCCATCAGTGGCACACTGACTGGTCTAGTTTGTTATGTATGTTATGACAAGGTAATCTACGCTTTTGGACGTAACGATGATTGGACGATCGACAGATCCATGGTATGCTCCGGACTACAGACTACAGAGGTCGCGGATTCGAGTACAATGAGGGACAAATGATCATGGTGGCGTCTTGAGCTTTAATTTACTATTAAATCAAGGAGCTATTACTAGGTAGATACTTATTATATTCTACAAGCTTAAAGCTTGACATGTTACGACAAAATATAAAAATCAGACCCGACAGAACGAGGCATAAACTCAGTTTTTTGTTAACTATTTCTAGTTAAATTATTTTTTTCATATTGAAAATGCATTGCTAATTCTTCTTTCTTAGCGCTCCTGTACGCTTACAGTATTTTCTTGCATGTTTATGAATCAACAATTTCAATACCTACTTTTTACCTATTTTAATAAAAAAAATCTTTTAAATTTTACAACGCAAGTGTGTGCTAAGCACTATTAGGAAAATAATGGCCCATTTGAAGGACGTTCATGTTATTATAGCCCCTATTTGTAGTTCAAGTGAACTATAATCAAGCATTAGTGTATCATTATTAAATTTATTATTATAGGTTATGTTCAAAGCCACCGTATACTTTTTATTGATCTAAAAACTATCAATCAACAAGATATAAGGCTGACGTTTGATAATGGCCCATAAAATTCGTTTAACTATGAGAATAAGTAACCAACTCGAACTGACTCAAAAACTTGAAAATATTGGATTCACTGACTTTTCAAAAAGTTTTCAGTGGTTCACTATAAGTTCGCGTATGACACCACAGCGGGTATGGTCGAATCTCTTATCAAAAGGCAAATGCAGAGATCTAATCGCAAGCGATAACACCCGGACTTTGTACGGGTACTTAGGGGTTGAATTTTGCAAAATACCGTCTTAGTGAGCACCTACGTTCTAAAAGGAACCCCATGCAAAATTTGAGACTCCAAGCACTTGTAAGTTTCTGAGATTTCGTGATGGGTGAGTGAGTGACCTTTCGCTTTTATAGATAGATAAATAAAAATGTGTTTATTACAGTATAAGATTTATCCCTTACACTGCTGCTAAAGCTCGCAAAAAGCTGCTGAAATTATTGTGATAATATAGCCACGTCCCGATGGCGGCTCAGGCTCTACAAATTTTAACGCTAAAATTGTACCTACCTTGTCCATTAATGACGTATTAATTAAGTGTTAATACCAAAGCCACTGACAGTGAAATTGCATAAGGCTAAATAGTAATGTAACTCGATTCGATACAAATGTAATACTTCCACTTTTGAAGAGCGAAGATAAAACTGGTTCCAAGGAGATTCCCTTTCCAACAGTCGTGGTCAGGACGGCATTCTTGTGGTGAGCTGATGGTTCCAGATAATGGTGTCTAGGAATACATTGTGACTACCCTCAGGTAGGTTGAGTGTAACAAAAACCCTAACGCGATAACTCGGCCTGTCTCGTTAGTTTCTTAACTAGGATTTCTAGAGGCAGTTGTTTATTTTGATTATTTTAATGTTCCATATTTTGCTGAACGCAGAAAAGCGTGAACATGCTGCTACTGAGTGGAGTAACATACAATTTGAAAATATCTAAGTAACTTGTTGTAAATTACTTAGTAGACTTAATTTATTTCAATTTCCAATTTATCAGTAGTGGTATATACTAACCTATTTATTAATATCTTTGGTAACTTTATCCATGTAAGTTTGTCAAAACTATCCAACTGCCGTGAAACTTAATTTCAGTTTTTGTCTTAAGACGAATTTTTAGACAGTAAGTTAACCGCTTTTCCATTCACAAACTTGATGCTCAATATTATGCCATTTCATGTCGGTTCTTTTAGGATAGCAGTCAACGCGGAGTTTCTGCAACTCATCATACAAGTCCTGACTCCCACATACTCAGGGATCACCGGACAGAATCTGCCGAGTCCTGCACTTAAACAATGGTAAATAAATCGTTCCGCGGAAACAACTTAGATATAACCTATAGAAATGCCATTCACCTTCTAAGATTCGATACTTGAATCGTGAGCGAATCTCAGCCTGGTAAATTGTGCGCTTTAGAACTAAGTAAGAAGATTAAGTAATATCTTCATATTATAGGTACTCGATATAACTTTAAAGTTTTCTTTGTTGTTCACTTGCTGTTGCCCGGGGTTTAGCCATACATTTTCCGTTCCTAACCTGTGAAGGGTGGATTCCCATAAAAAATAACGCCCCCTGAGTACTTTTTTTTTCGTTATTTTCAAGTCTTATAACAAAACGTTTCTGCAGTTAAAATAGAATAATATCCGCTAATTATTATTTTATGGGACGTACAAATATAAGTTTTTACTTTAAAACCACAATTCTTAACGCGTCGTGAAGAATAAAAACTTGAATAATCTCCATTAGCAACTTCTTCATTGGAAATATATTTTTTGTTGTAAGTTTTATACCTACCCTTACTGTTATTTCATTATCCTAGTGGTCTCCAAAAGTATTTATATGTAACTTAGAAATTAGACCTTAGGAATTATAAAAAGTGAGGCCCTTATTTTCAATTTATGAAACTGAAAATTTTCATTTTCTACGCGTGATTAAAACTTTAAACTATGTGGTAGGTTAATAACTTACACAAAGTTAACTGAACTCATCAACATCTAATAACATAGTAAACACTTTTGCGATAACTATTCATACACGATTATCTTCTACAAAACGTAAAATAATGAAGCATTGACGTAAAAATATAGAATTTCCATAATAATCATCCATAGACTGGTTTTATAGCATCAGAATAGCCGGCTACACATTGAGATGTGTTAGGGGAGGGTCCTGGTTCATCATTATGGACCCTGCATGAAAATAAACAGGTACGATAATGAGGGTGGGTAATTTTCTCGTCCTAATGGAATAGCAAATTAGCAACTCAGACCTCTGCCTAAGTAGACAAATAGAGCACAAATTACAGTTATTTTTTTTTATTTTAAATTAGGTAGGTGGGTATTTGACCATAACACTGAAACCAAATAGGTAGAGACAGTCAATGTCATAGGTATGTACCACCTAAAATTCACTCTCTTTTTTGGTATGGTTAGCGTTCAGCGAGTTCCACCGCTCTTATCTTTCGCGACTTGCGATACTTTTATCGCAACTTAACTGAAAACAAAGCACTGCATAAACTCTTCAGTTAGTGAAGTGCTTTGTTTTGTTACTAGTATAGGTACTAATTATATTAGTCCATGATAGTAGGTATCTTTTTACGGTTTTGTCGATTAGGTACCTACCTGATAATATTCACCACCAAGTTAATCGAAAACATCTATTTTTTGTCGAGGAGTAGGGTTCTTCCAGACGACTGCTACATTTTCATTTTCCCCGACTTTAATTAAAAACTTGAATAAAGTAAATACCAGGTGAGTGTGCGAAAAATTGATGACCATAGCTCATATTGGCGTGCCCATACTACCCATAAAGGCTTTAAAACCAGCTATCCATCGATGCTTATTTAATCGTTTTCTCAATAAACCGGCCACCCATCATCTCGCACGCTCGTAGACCCGTAGTAAATGAGTTCACGGTTTCTCACGGCCAAGGCTACGGCGCCAGGCTGCGCGCACGCAACACGCTTGCATAAGCGATGTGCGCGCGCCTTAAATGATTGCCCGCTTTGCTATCGAAGCAAGTAGCCGTGCCGGAGATAAGTAAAATGTTTATTCAATGTACCTATGCGACTTCATTTTCTGTCTTTGTATCGAATCTCTTTTCGCGTAGGTTGTAATCTATCTTACTGGGATTACTCGATATAATCTTATCGTGGGTCGATAAAAAGATTTAGATAATGCACTATCGAATGCATATTTTATACTTATAATTACAAAGGTATGTTTTGTGCCCGGATAATGTCAGAAATTAGTAATAAGACTGAAAAAAAGCGAATGGAAAAAAGCGAAATGAATCAGTCCAGTCTTATATAACATAACGTCTCCTGACTCTCTGTGGACCAGTCCTAAGTGATTGAGACTCTCACATGTCAGAGGTTCTGGGTTTGATGGTCAGGTTGTAAACTAAATCGCTAATTACATTTTTCCCAGTTGACAGGACTTGCAGGCTATTCTGTCTAGAACTGAACTGATCAAACCGGATATACCTACAAAGTAGAGATTGCAATCCGGATTATTCGAAATTCGAAAATATCTGAAAAATCCGGATTTTGAGGCTATAAAAAAATCCGGATTTTGACTTTGAAATCCGGTTTTTTCGAATATTTTACCCCAAAAATTTTATCATAAAATCATAAACCAAAATATCTATTGAATGCAACATGGATGCAAAACAAGCGAAGTTTTTATTGAACGCACCCGCACTTCGTCGCACAATAACGCGTTATGCCGCATGCGTAAGTGAATTCGCTAGTCGGCCAGTGAGTTTTATACGAGACGCTGATTCTGAAACACCATATCGCTGAGTTTTAAAGAGCAGCTAAATCGGCAAATATCCCTTGCAAGTGTAAGTCATCATCATCATCATCTCAGCCATAGGACGTCCACTGCTGAACATAGGCCCCCCCAATGCTTTTCATGTTGCCTGGTTGGTAGCGACCTGCGTCCAGCGCCTTCCTGCTACCTTTATGATGTTATCGGTCCACCTTGTGGGTGGACGTCCCACACTGCGTTTTCCGGTACGCGGCCTCCACTCCAAATTCAAATTATTTATTGCATGTCACTCCAGAACCTTGCTGCCCCATCGGCCGTCAGTTCTGCGTACTATGTGCCCTGCCCATTGCCACTTAAGCTTGTATCCGTCGGGCTAGTATGTCAGCGACTTTAATTCGTTTACGGATCTCCTAGGAGGTGGCCATAGGAACTCTTAACCGAAACGGCAGAAACTTATAGAGTTTGAGTTCGTTGGTTTCGTCTTCCCGAGCACTTTGGTCGTAAATAATGACCAGGGCCCTGAGATTGAAATACAACTTAAAAGTGAAAAATAAAATTATAATAAAAAAATTAGCTCCCCTGGCCTACCTGGAAATCTTTATAGACTTCGGATAGGTCTGCCGTAGTAAGGACAATCTGTTCAGGTGTCAGGTGGGGATTCTTGGATGGATCAAACTTGGAGTGCAAGTGTGGTTTTGTTCCCCAGTCGACGAAGCACATGATGTCGTGCCCTGCGTGCCCAAACAACTGCAAGCAGGAAGATTTAATGAAGGCTACTGACAACGCCACTCTTGTGGCGGAGTTTTGGGCTGACGCTGTGTAGGTTTGTTGTCGACACGACAAGAAGAAGAATAAAAAAAATATTTTATAGGTACAAGCAAGTTTTTATTCTGAAATGCAGTTGTACTAAAACGAAAAAAAAATGCAAAGTTCAAATAATTTCGAAGGCTTGTAGCGCAAACCGAAAAAAAAGAGGAATAAATTCCATGCGCGATAATAAAATAAAACGCTTTTCTTCAAATACTTACACCTTTTTGAAAAAAACTACGTTTTATTTAAATTAAATTGATGGTTTAAAAAAAATTACCCAATATTCGAAAAATCCGGATAATCCGGATTTGTACGTAACACAAATCCGGAAAACCGGATTTAAGAAAAATCCGGATTTTGCAATCTCTAATTGCAACATGTGCCTACATTAGTTAAGATTAACTACAATTATAATAAACGGTTAATAGCGTTATACTATGTTATACTAAGTAACAACAGAAGCAACTAATAGGTAATTAGGTACTAGATAAACATCATGTTATTTGTGTAAAAGCTCTGAATGATTTTATTTCTAAAACGAATCAGAAAAATAGTTAGCTCATTTCAATGAATCTTATTATCAAGTCTATAAAGGTCTAATAGAGCTATTAGTTATGGGAAAGTTACTGCATTGAAATGGCACATGCACTCTTATCAATCGTAATCGTAATTTAAGCTCTTTTTTAAATAACTTAAGAAAATCGAACTGCCTAAGGTGGGAATCGAACCCACTACCTTTCGCTTGCCGGGAGATAGCTCGTGGGTTCGATTCCCACCTTAGGAAGTTCGTTTTTTTTAAGTTATTTTAAAAATATTTATTTATTTATTTATTTATTTATTTATTTATTTATTTATTTATTTATTTATTATTCATTATTGAGCAATTACATATTTGATCCAAATAGCAAATAATAAATTTAGATCGAGAGGTGACTCTTAACGCCAGATTTTTTAAATAATTAAGCATTTTCATTAGTTAAATTACTCGACGATATTTTTAATAACATTGCTTCTTATGATCAAATCACGCATTCCAAATCTTTATGAAACAAATTAACGGTCATAAGACGCACGCGCCGCTTTTAAAGCGTCATCTTTATGATACTCCAAATTTGAATTTTAAATGCCTTCAGCAAAAAAATTATCGCCGGACAAAGGAGTATTTAGGTACCGTAACGTCATTTATCACGGACTTATACCAAAGGCATCGGGACTATTCCCACCTCTCGTTCCCACCACTGCAACTCCTGTGTAGCCAGGATCTACAGCTTGACCGCCACAAAAACCCAACCAATGAAGGTCAAGTTTGTCCCGGGGGAAAGTTAAACTGTCATTGGACCCGCAACGAAATTAATCAGAAGAACATAGGAGGAGTTCGAAATTAAGGTTCGACTTCCCTCCATTGCAAAGCGGATGACAGGTGACAAANTATGTTATATCAAAGGCAATAAAGCTCAAAATTCATTGGAATAATCCGTCATTTTGGGGTAGGGTGATGTGCTGTCGACTCTACACCAATATTGTGAACAATAACATCACAAAAAATGCTATTGTTTTTTACTTATAACTACATCTTAATAGTCTGTATTTGAGATCATATAATTTGCTACTGAGGAAGTGTTAATTCATAGTTAACGATTTTATTTATGCCGCTCTATTTCCTGATGTATGATTCGTTTTTTAAACAATAAAATTAAATAATTGACTGTGGATATTAGTTTTATGGTGATGAGCTACCTTTTAACTTACCTACTGCCTTATTTGTCGGAAGGGAGTTATTATTTTTCGATATAGGGAGTTTTTATATCTGTACAAATCGTGACCTCCTATAAAATAAAGATAAAAAATAATATTGATTTGCGAGGAATAGACATAAATATATTTTATAATCAAAATATCCAAAAGTAATTTATTATAAAATTACTTAACTTGTTCAAATGAAGTATCTTACTTTTATTTGAATTTGTTCATATTACAAAATGTTTAAAACTCGATTTATTTAAAACTTAATTTCCATCATAAAAGGTATAAAGTAATCGTAAAGATATCGTCGTTTAAGTTCTATCACCACGTAAGTAATTTTTCGCAACTTTTCAGGAGATTGGACGAAACGACGCGTCTTTCTTCGATTCTCTAGCGAATGGCATCAAAATGGCAAAACCGCCAAAAAATAACTTACGTGGTGATAGAACTTAAACGACGCTATGTCCTAGAATTAGTCTAAATATACAATCAATTAAAGCCTTGAATTAATGAAACTGAATCGAGTTCTGAGACTTCTGAGTCACATTTTGTAACATCCACCTTAGCATAGTACCTACGATTAAAAAATATCTGCATTAAAATTGCATAGGTGTTTAAAACTACGTCATCCTTCGAACATCTTGATCGTATCGGATGTACTACTGCGGATTAGTATGGTAGGTAAAAGGTTATTGATAACCTTTTTCAATTATTATAATTAAACCTTGACCCACGAACTGCAAGGATATTGAATACCAGGATTCAATAATTATGGTGTCAGTTAGTTTTCCCGTATCATCACGATTTTCATGCGCATCTAACGTGTGCACGTAATCTGTTCTGGCGCGATGACTTCATGTCGATCATTAGGGAAGTTTATGAATACACAGTTAAAAATTAACTAGAAGGTCTAAATGTTTAAGTACGGCCGTTAAATTGGACAAAATCCTTAAAAATTTAAATACAATAATAAGAGTCATCATAAACGTCGTGGAGCTAATCTAGTTGCGAAAGACTTTTTGCTTAAAAACTGAAAATATATTGAAACCTTTATTATTGCTTACCTACTTATCAGAAAAACGTGAACAGTGTGTACAATTTATAAAGACCAGCGGCCTCAACTAGTTAAATAAAATAAATAATTATGCATCTCACTATCTACTTAACAAATTAGACCTCTTTATAGGTCCTACTTATAAGATTGAAAAACAAAAACCTGCGTTTTTCTGCTCACGGCTTCCAATATTCCCTTGCGCCGGCTATCTGGCTATAATGAAGCTATTAGTTCCCCTCGGCGATAGAGTTAAAGCGCAATAAATCAAGTCTATAA